ACACGGGGGGGGAAGGAGTTTTCACATGGGGGGAAGTGAAAAAGGAGGGAATAGCCCACACACTGGAGGGGGGAACCAAAGGGGGGGAAGGGGGCTACACACTGGAGGGCAGAGTAGTTAAAAAAAGCCTAACACGGGGGGGAAAGGAAAAGGAGGGAAAGTGTTAACAGGGGGAAAGAAAAAAGATAGTCTACACAATGGAGGGAAAAGGGGCTACAATGGAGGAAAAGTGCCTACACACTGGAGGGCAGGGGTCTACACATGGAGGGAAAAAAGGGGTAGTCTACACACTGGGGGGGAAAAGGAAAAGGGGGGAAGGAGTTAACTGGAGGGCGGGTAGGGGTAACATGGAGGGAAGAGTAGTCTAAACACTGGAGGGAAAGGAGCCCCGGAGGGAAAAAGGAGTCTAACAGGGGGGGGAAAAAAGTAGCTACACACGGAGGGAAAAGTATAACACTGGAGGGAGAAAAAAAGGAGGGAAAAAAGGGGAAAGTGGGCTACAAACGGGGGGGGAGAGTGCACACACTGGAGGGCCCCGAGGGCTAACATGGGGGAAAAGATGTTTCACATGGAGGGCAGAGAGTCTACACACTGGAGGAAGAAGTCTACACATGGGGGCAGAGAGTCTACACACTGGGGGCAGAGAGTCTACACATGGAGGGAGAGTAGTCTAGCCAAGGGGAAGAAAAATAGGGAAATAGTCTAACCACGGAGGGCAGAAACCCCCCGGGGGGGAGGTCTACCATGGAGGGCAGAGTGTTACACGGAGGGAAAAAGAGTAGGCTACACAAGGAGGGAAAAGGGGTTACAACTGGGGGGGGGAAAAAAGTAGTCAACCTGGAGGGAAAGTAGTAACATGGAGGGCCAGAGTAGCCCACACATGGGGGAGGTAGCCCAACACTGGGGGGCAGGGAGTCTACAACGGGGGGGGGGAGGTAGTCCCAAAATGGAGGGGAAAAAGAGCCAGGGGGTGTCTACAACTGGAGGAGAGTAGTCTACAACTGGGGGGGAAAAGGGGAGGTAGTCTAAATGGGGGGGCAAATAGTCTACACATGGAGGGAAAAAGTAAAAAAGAATAGTCTAACACTGGGGGGGGGGAGGGGGAAGAGTAGCTAAAAACTGGAGGGGGGGAAAAGTAGAAAGGGGGGAAAGTAGTCTAACACTGGAGGGAAAAAAGGGAGAACACAGGGGGGGGTACAACCCCGGAAAGATAGCCCACACATGGGGACAGAGTGTCTAACATGGAGGGGAAAAGTAGTAACAAAAAGGAAAAACTGGAGGGGAAAAAAGGGGAAAGGGGTGTCAACACTGGGGGGGGAAAAAGAAATAGTTAACACTGGAGGGAAAAAAAGTAGTTAGACAAGGGGGGAAGAGTTCAAACGGGGGGAAGAAAAAAAAAAAGGGGGGAAAAGCCAAAGGGGAAGAGAGCCACACACGGAGGGGGCCCAAAAGAGTCTTACAACTGGAGGGGAAGAGAAGAGTGGCTACAAAAAGGGGGGAAGAAGTAAAAGAGGGGGAAAATCCAACACTGGAGGGAGAGTAGTTAAACTGGGGGGAGGGCACAAGGGGGGAAGGTTACACACTGGGGGGAAAAGTAGTTCCCCAGGGAAAAAGAGACACGGGGAGGGAAAAGGGGCTACCACGGAGGGAAGAGGTAGCTACACACGGAGGGAGAGTAGTCACACACTGGGGGGAAAGGGAGGGTTTACAATGGAGGGGAAAATTTTGCTAACCCCGGAGGGAAGAGTAGCCTACACACTGGAGGGGGAGAGTGCACACATGGAGGGCAGAGAGTAAAGGAGGGGGGAGTTACACCTGGGGGGGAAGAAGACAACCAGGGAAAGGGAGCCACCATGGAGGGGGAGGTAGTCAAAACTGGAGGGGAAAAGAGTCACCACTGGAAGGGGGAAGAGTAGTCTAAACTGGGGGAAAGTAGCCCCAACACCGGGGGGAAAAGAGTTACCCCAAGGAGGGGGGTAGCTACCACTGGGGGAAAGGGCAACGAAGAGTAGCTACACAGGAAAAGGGGAAGGAAGAGTATACACATGGAGGGAAAAAGTTACAAAGGGAGAGAACCAAAGAGGTCTACAACTGGGGGAGAGAAGCCTTTTAACCCCCTGGGGGGGGGCCCAGGGGGGAACAGGGGGTAGCTAACACTGGGGGGAAAAGGACCAAGGGGGGGGCCCAGGGGGGTAGCACAATGGGGGCAAGAGAGCTAAATGGGGGAGAGGGGCCCACACACTGGAGGGAAAAAGGGGGTTTTCCCCGAGGAAAAACCCCCAGGGGGGTAGCACACACTGGGGGGAGAGTGTACAATGGAGGGGAAAGTAGTCTACACACTGGAGGGAAAGGGGTGCACACACTGGGGGAGGGGGGACAAGGAGGGGTAGTAACATGGAGGGAAAAAAGGGGGGAAGAAGCTACCACCGGGGGGGAAAAAGGGGCTACACACTGGAGGGAAGAGAGTCACCACTGGTGGGAGCCACAAAGGGGGGAGTTCACACTGGAGGGAGAGTAGCTACCCTGGGGGGGAGAGTAGCCACAACTGGAGGGGAGAAAAACCAGGAAAGGGGGCCCAACACTGGAGGGAGAGTAGTCTAACCTGGAGGAAGAGTGCCCACACATGGAGGGAAGAGAGTTACCCCATGGAGGGGAAAATAGCCACAATGGAGGGAAAAGAGTAGCTAAACCACGGAGGGAAAAAGTAGCCCACAAAGGAGGGGAAAAAGAGACACACTGGAGGGAAAAGGTTTTCACACTGGAGGGGGGGAGGGTTTGCCTACCCTGGAGGGAGAGTAGCCCACACATGGAGGGAAAAAGTAGCCCACCACGGAGGGAAAAGTAGTTACCAAATGGAGGGGAGAGTGTCACAACGGGGGGGGCCGTAGCTAACACTGGAGGGAAAGAGTAGCAACACTGGAGGGGGCCCCCAAGGGGGGAAGAGCCCACACACTGGAGGGAAAAAAGGGGCCCACACACTGGAGGGCGGTAACACACTGGAGGGAGAGTTTGCTACCCAAAATGGAGGGAAAAGTAGCTCCCCTGGAGGGGAAAAAGTCCCCGGAAGAGTAGTTAACACGGGGGAAAAAGGGCAAAAGGGGGGAAGAAAACTAAAACTGGGGGCAGATAGAAAGGAAGAGAGCTAACCTGGAGGGGGGAGTAGCTACACCGGGAGGGAGAGTAGCTAACCACTGGAGGGAAAAAGTAGCACACACTGGAGGGAAAGAGTAAAAGGGGGGAGAGGTCTACACCTGGAGGGAAAAAGGGGGTCTACACACTGGAGGGAAAAAGTAGCTCCCCGGAGGGAGGTAGCCTACAAAACGGAGGGAGAGACAAAAAACACTGGAGGGGAAAATAGTCTACACAATGGGGGGAGGTAGTCACACATGGAGGGAAAAAGGGGGGGTTTAACACTGGAGGGAGAAGGTTTAAAGGAAAGAGGAGCTACACACTGGAGGGAAGAGTAGTTTAACCAAGGAGGGCAGAGTGCTAAAAAGGGGGAAAAGAAAAGGGGGAGAGTAGTTACACATGGGGGAAGAGTCTACACAGGAGGGAAGAGTAGTTAACACTGGAGGGGAAAAGAGTCCCCGGGGGGGGGTAGTCTAACACTGGAGGGCAGAAAAAGCTAAACTGGGGGAAGGAGTTTTAAAGGGGGGAGATGCTACACACTGGAGGGAAAGAAAAGGGGGAAAAGGGAAAAGAGTAGTTTCACACTGGAGGGAAAAGAGTAGTTAACACTGGAGGGAAAAAGGGAGTCTAACACTGGAGGGAAGAAGGGGCTAACAGGAGGGCGAGTAGCTAACACTGGAGGGGGGGCCCGAGTTCTAAAGGGGGGGAAAAGTAGTTACCACTGGAGGGGGAAGAGTAGTTACACACTGGAGGGGAAAAAAGGGTTTAAAGAGTAGCTGACATGGAGGGAGAGTAGCTACACCATGGGGGGAAAAAGTGTCTAACACGGAGGGAGAGTAGTCTCCCCTGGGGGAAAGAGTAGTTAACCTGGAGGGAAGGAAAGGAGGGGAAGAGTAGTTACACACTGGAGGGAAGGAGTAAAAGGGGGGGTAGCACACTGGAGGGGAGTGTCTACAACTGGGGGGGGAAAAAAGGTGCCCCACTGGGGGAAAAAGTTTGGGGAAGGGGAAAAAGAGCTAACACTGGAGGGAGGTAGTCTACACAAAAGGGGGGGGAGAGAAAGGAGGGGGGTTCTAAAAAGGGGGGAGGGGGCCAAAAGGGGGTAGGCTTAAAACCTGGAGGGGAAAAGTAGTACAACTGGAGGGAAAAAGTAGTCACCACGGGGGGAGAGTAGTTACACACTGGAGGGAAGGGGTAGTCTAACTGGAGGGAAAAGGGGGGCCAGGGCTACAAACTGGAGGGAAGAGTAGTCAAACTGGAGGGCAGAAGTAGTTAAAACGGGGGAGAGAAAAAAGAGTAGTCTACACGGGGGAAGAGAGAAAGAGGGGAAAATTGGAGGGAAGGGATTTTGCCTAACCCCAGGAAAGGGCCAAGGGGGGAGGGGTAGTTAACACTGGAGGAAGGGGAAAAGGGGGAGAGTCTACACTGGAGGGAAGAGTAGCTACACACTGGAGGGGAAAAAAGAGCCCACCACTGGAGGGGAGGTGGGTACACGGAGGGAGGTAGTCACACAGGGAGGGCAGAGTAGCAACATGGAGGGGAAAGAAAAGGGGGGGGGGAAAAAAAGGAGGAAAGGGCCCAACATGGAGGGAAGAGTATTTTACACACAGGGGAAAAGGGAGGGTTCCCCATGGAGGGAAAAGTTTGGGGGAAAAAAGGGAGAGGTTTCACACTGGGGGGAGAGTAAAATAAATAGGGGGTCTACACCTGGAGGGAGAGAGCCCAACACTGGAGGGGAAGACAGGGGGGAGGGAACCACGGAGGGGGGGAGCCCGGGGGGGAAAAAGTAGTTACACACGGGGGGGGAGAGGAAAAGGAGGGAAGTACTACACATGGAGGGAGGAGTTCAAGGGGGGAAAAATAGCCCACACATGGAGGGCGGAAAATGTTACAACGGAGGGGAAGGGGTAAACGGAGGGAAAGATAGCTACAAATGGAGGGAAAAAGTAGTCTACACAGGAGGGAAGGGGTAGTTTCACACTGGGAGGGGTATTTAAAGATTTTAAAAGGGGGGGGGAGTCAAACACTGGAGGAGAGTAGTTAAAAATGGAGGGAAAAAGAGCTAAAACCCTGGAGGGAGAGTAGCCCCACACTGGGGGCAGAGTAGCCCCACCCCGGGGGGGGGCCCAAAGGGGGAAATAGTTACACACTGGAGGGAAAAGTAGTTAACCGGAGGGAAGAGTAGGTACACATGGAGGGGAGTGCCTCCATGGGGGAGAGTAGCACACACTGGAGGGCCCGAGTAGCAAAAACTGGAGGGGGGCTAACGGGGGGAGTATAAACTGGAGGGAAGAGTTTGCATAAATGGAAAGGGAAAGGGGGGTAGCAACACTGGAGGGGAGAGTAGTTCCCCACGGAGGGAGAGTAGCTACACACTGGAGGGAAAAGTAGCTCACACGGGGGGAAAGGGTAGTTTAAAAGGAGGGGAAGAGTTAAACGGGGGGGAAAAAAAAGGAGGGAAAATTCTACACATGGGGGAAAGGGTTTTTAAAAAGGTGTTTGGAGGGGGGTTTAAAAAACGGGGGGTTTTTAAAAAAATTTTGGGGGCCCGAGTAGAAAATGGAGGGGGGCCCGATTTCCCAATAGGGGGGGTATTAAACTGGGGGGAAATCACACAATGGAGGAAGGAGCGGGAAGGAGGGAAGGTCTGCATGGGGGAGGAAAATGTTAAAAGGAGGGGAAAGGGTTTCCCGGGGAAATTCTTAAAATCTTCCCAAAATAAAAGGGGGTTCAAAAATGACCACAGGGAAAACACCAAAACAAACTAGGGAAATTATCTTGGAGGGGGGGAAAGGGGTTTGGAGGGGATGGCCCCTGGGGGAAGAAAAGTTTGGGGGTTCTACACCACTGGGGAAGGTTGTTTGGGGGGGGTTTTGTGGGGGGAAGATACTAACCAAAAAATCACCTGGGGGGAAATGAACCTGGAGGGGGAGAAATTTAAAACCAGGGGGAAAAAGCAAATGGGGGGAAAAGTGTAAACTGGGGGGAACGGTAGTTTAAAGGGGGGGGAATTTAAAAACCATCAATACCCCTGGGGGGGGTGCTTTAACAGGGGGAAAAGTTCCCCGGGGGAAAAGTTCTACCCAGGGAAAAATATTAAACTAGGGGTTTTTTTTAAATTCTACAAACGGGGGGAAATCAAACCTGGAGGGAGGTAATCCCCCAAAGGGGGGGGGAAATTCAGTATAAGGAAGAAAAAAAATTTTTTCCCACCGGGGGGGACCCCCCCAAAACCCCCAAAGGGGAAAACACACTTTACACACCCGTGTTTCTGTAGCCTGTATTATCCGTTTTGAGTTTTTTATGGGTCACACACTGGAGTAATACCAGGAGAAAAGTAGTCTACACACTTAGGTATGTATTGTAAATGGGGAGTGTCTACACACTGTAAGAGTTGAGAGAAATCTCAACTGGATAAAAATCAACCTTTGTTGTTAAAAATATTTTTTGGGGGCCATGATTAAAAAGAGCTACTATTTTTTTTTTCTCAACTGGTAATTGAAATGCGCTTCCCATTCACCATTCAAATGTATAGGCAACGGAAGGAAGGCTTCATCAGCGCTTTGCAATGAGCTGGAGGCAGTATGCATTTAGAAAACGTCTCTCTAATTCTCTCTTGCGCACGCGCACACACACACACACACACACACACACACACACACAAACTTTCAGGGAAATACTGTAGCGTTGGACTAGGGGTGTGTCGGCTGTGTTGCTTTGCCCTTCCGGGTCTGAGAACAATGTTGCCGTCTGACACCAACTCTGACTGGTGAATTGTGTGTTTGTGTGTGTGTGTGTGTGTGTGTGTGTTTGAGGATTACTAACATAATCACCTGAAATTGACCTGGACATGGCAGAGCACAGATAATATTTCCAGTCAGATTTGATATTGAAGTTTAACACCCTAGTATGAGCTGAATGACATATTACCTTTGGTGGATAATCCACCGTTGAAGTCGGAAGTTTACGTACATCTTAGCCAAATACATTTAAACTCAGTTTTTCCACAATTCCTGACATTTAATCCTAGTAAAAATTCCCTGTCTTAGGTCAGTTAGGATCACCACTTTATTTTAAGAATGTGAAATGTCAGAATAATAGTAGAGAGAATGATTTATTTCAGCTTTTATTTATTTCATCACATTCCCAGTGGGGTCAGAAGTTTACATACACTCAATTAGTATTTGGGAGCATTGCCTTTAAATTGTTTAACTTGGGTCAAATGTTTCGGGTAGCCTTCAACAAGCTTCCCACAATAAGTTGGGTGAATTTTGGCCCATTCCTCCTGACAGAGCTGGTGTAACTGAGTCAGGTTTGTAGGCCTCCTTGCTCGCACATGCTTTTTCAGTTCTGCCCACAAATGTTCTATAGGATTGAGGTCAGGGCTTTGTGATGGCCACTCCAATACCTTGACTTTGTTGTCCTTAAGCCATTTTGCCACAAATTTGGAAGTATGCTTGGGGTCATTGTGCATTTGGAAGACCCATTTGCGACCAAGCTTTAACTTCCTGACTGATGTCTTGAGATGTTGCTTCAATATTTCCACATAATTTTCCTTCCTCATGATGCCATCTATTTTGTGAAGTGCACCAGTCCCTCCTGCAGCAAAGCACCCCCACAGCATGATGCTGCTACCCCTGTTCTTCACAGTTGGGATGGTGTTCTTCGGCTTGCAAGCAACCCCCTTTTTCCTCCAAACATAACGATGGTCATTATGGCCAAACAGTTCTATTTTTGTTTCATCAGACCAGAGGACATTTCTCCAAAAGTACGATCTTTGTCCCCATGTGCAGTTGCAAACCGTAGTCTGGCTTTTTTATGGCGGTTTTGGAGCAGTGGCTTCTCCCTTGCTGAGCGGCCTTTCAGGTTATGTCGATATAGGACTCGTTTTACTGTGGATATAGATACTTTTGTACCTGTTTCCTCCAGCATCTTCACAAGGTCCTTTGCTGTTGTTCTGGGATTGATTTGCACTTTTCGCACCAAAGTACGTTCATCTCTAGGAGACAGAACACGTCTCCTTCCTGAGCGGTATGACGGCTGCGTGGTCCCATGGTTTTTATACTTGCGTACTATTGTTTGTACAGATGAAGGTGGTACCTTCAGGCATTTTGAAATTGTTCCCAAGGATGAACCAGACTTGTGGAGGTCTACAATTTTTTTTCTGAGGTCTTGGCTGATTTCTTTTGATTTTCCCATGATGTCAAGCAAAGAGGCACTGAGTTTGAAGGTAGGCCTTGAAATACATCCACAGGTACACCTCCAATTGACTCAAATGATGTCAATTAGCCTATCAGAAGCTTCTAAAGCCATGACATCCTTTTCTGGAATTTTCCAAGCTGTTTAAAGGCACAGTCAACTTAGTGTATGTAAACTTCTGACCACTGGAATTGTGATACAGTGAATTATAAGTGAAATAATCTGTCTGTAAACAATTGTTGGAAAAATGACTTGTGTCATGCACAAAGTAGATGTCCTAACCGACTTGCCAAAACTATAGTTTGTTAACAAGAAATTTGTGGAGTGGTTGAAAAAACGAGTTTTAATGACTCCAACCTAAGTGTATGTAAACTTCCGACTTCAACTGTATATAGCCGACATGTTGCATCATAATGGGGAAAACATCATTTAAAAGATTGCATTTATCCATCACACCAAGTAACAGGCTAGTGTGTGGGTTAACGCTAGCTGCCTATAGCAGACCAGCCCACGTCTATAGGCTACTGCTGCCTCACTGGTTGAGAGGGCAACTGTTAAAGCGCACATAGCAGACAGGGGAGTGCGTAATTCGCGTCTTCATTTAGGAGACACAGTGGCATTGGCAACGGAGGATTGAGGATTCTACTACGACTACACAGGAACTTCCGGTGTCTTTTACTTCTTTTTTGTAAAGGTGTTTTGGATTGGACCGGAACCAGCGCGTGAGCGAGAGAGAGATGGGGGACCGGCGCGGGAAGCTGGCGCTCCTCTCTCCCGGCGCACCGAAGCCCTCCGTCTCCAAGGAGGGAACATTCCAGCTGCGTGTGATCTTTCTGGACAACAGCGAGCGTGTGTTTGAGGTCAAGGTAAATCAAAGCAATTCTATCAATGTGTGTTATGTTTAGGTTACTGTAAAAGACAACAGTCCAAGTGCTTGTAGCCTTGATAAGAAAATAATAGGACTTCGCATTGGTGAAGCAATTACCAGAAACATATGACACATAGCAGTTGTTTTTACATATCTATTTAGTCTATATAGGGTTAATAATAATAATAATTAATAATAATAATATAATATAATAATAATAATAATAATATAATAATAATTATATAATAATAATAATAATAATAATTAATCATTTAGCAGACGCTCTTATCCAGAGCGACTTACAGGAGCAATTAGGGTTAAGTGCCTTGCTCAAGGGCACATCGACAGATTTTTCACCTAGTCGGCTCGGAGATGAGAACCAGCGACCTTTCGATTACTGGCACAACGCTCTTAACCACTAAGCTACCTGCCGCCCTATATATACTTATACTCATAACCCATGACAAGATGGAAAATATTTATAGCGATGTGTGTGTATGTGTGTGTATGTGTGTGTATGTGTGGGGGCTCGTTTCCTCGCGGTGTTGTCCTTGTAAAGTAGCCCTTATTCCTGGTCCCATTATCTGCGTGCATGATTTCTCTCTCAGAGCGTGCTGGTGACCGGAGCCTCGCGGGCCTTTACTGCCTCTCCCCTGAGCCATGGAGGTAGGGAGGGAGGGAGGGAGGGAGGGAGGGATGGATGGATGGATGGAGGGATGGAGGGATGGATGGAGGGATGGATGGAGGGAGGGATGGAGGGAGGGAGGAAAGGAGGGACGGATGGAGGGAGGGAGGGAGGGATGGATAGAGGGAAGGAAGGGAGGGAGGGAGAGTGGAAAAGAAAAGAGAAAGACCCCTGCTGTGTGTTTTGGTTAGGAGGTCAAGGGGGGGGCGGCAGAGAGAGAGTGTAAGAGAGAAATAGAGAGAAAGAGAAAGAGTGAGAGCGATAAATAGAGAGAGAGAGAGAGAGAGAGAGAGAGATGTGAATAGCCTTGAGGATAGTGGTGTGTTGACAAGGAGAGGGGTGAGTAGTAGCCTATTCTTCCAGTGAGTTTGAGTTGAGTACCCCCATCCTCTCTTGCCCCCAATAGCCAGCCTCTGCCCCCAGGTTGAAAGAACTATTAGCGGCCTGGACACAGAGAGAGAGGGGTGGATGATATATAGTCCTACCATTCAAACATACTAGTGACTAGAGATTAGAGTTTGTGTGTGTTCAGCACCAAACCCACTACACTCCCTCTCTCTCCGGCCAGCTGACGGCTCTAAATCGGTAGTTTGATAGCCTAGTTGTTGAGAGTGTTGTAAGGGCGGACGTTAAACGTTGTTGATGACCGTTTATGGGACGGTTTTCCTTGCGCCTCGCCTCGCGGTCCCATAATGACACAGTAATGAGAGGATACACGCGCTCCCCCGTCGTGTCAGCAGGTCTAAAAACCGGGTTCGGTTGTGTCACAGTGCAAAAAAACGACTCACTCTCACGCCTATCTCATCTCCTCCGCCAGCGGCACCGGTAATTAAGATTCAGACAAGAGCGGGAAGGAAACAGCGTGTGACAGACCTGAGAACTCCCCTAAACAGTTGGGGTTGACGGATCCCAAAACAGAGACACAGTATTTTATCGACGTGCGTCGCTCTGACGCATTACGTCATGGGGTAGGCTGACCTGTAAATGGAAAAACGAACTAACTCACTGGAGAACGACAATGATGAAAGATACGGAAAATTAGATATATGTTGTAAATTAGTTAAATATAGCCTATTAAATATATTTTTTGCCTATTTTTGGAATTGTTACATTTCACATAAAAGTTGTGGTAAAAAATTAATATAGTAGAATGCACTGAACGTGTTTATACTATGACTAGAAAAAAGAAATCGCTCACAAGCCGTTTCAGCACCATGGTCAGCTCCATCAACGGGTCCCTCATCTAATACTGCTAGTCTAATGCACTAGATTTAGATGTTGCCTTTATTTAAGCAGATAAATCATTGAGAACACATTCTCGTATATTACAATATCCACCGTACCGAGAGATAAAGCAATAAACCGAAAGCAAAAATGTCTTAACAACAAACAACATCATCATGATTCTTATCTCAACCTTTTACCTCGTTGGTAACTGATGACTTCCTGTCTCTTCCTATCCTCTCCACCACAGCAAAGGATCCTGGGATGTGACTTCTTCAACAAGGTGTGTGGCCACCTCAAGCTGCTGGAGAAAGAATACTTTGGACTGGAGTTCAGACACCACACTGGCAGCTATGTAAGTTATTGACATCACTCTGTAACCTACCAGACAGGGAGGTAAGTGTAACCTACTAGACAGGGAGGTAAGTGTAACCTACTAGACAGGGAGGTAAGTGTAACCTACTAGACAGGGAGGTAAGTGGTAAACCTACTAGACAGGGAGGTAAGTGTAACCTACTAGACAGGGGGTAGGTCCGAGGTAAGTGTAACCCTACTAGACAGGGAGGTAAGTGTAACCTACTACTAGGACCAAAGGTAAGTTGTAACCTACTAGACAGGGAGGTAAGTGTAACCTACTAGACAGGGAGGTGAGTGTAACCTACTAGACAGGGAGGTAAGTGTAACCTACTAGACAGGGAGGTAAGTGTAACCTACTAGACAGGGAGGTAAGTGTAACCTACTAGACAGGGAGGTAAGTGTACCCACTACACAAGGGGGTAAGTGTACCTACTAGACAAGGAGGTAGTGTAACCTACTAGACAGGGAGGTAAGTGTAACCTACTAGACAGGGGAGGTAAGTGTAACCTAACTAGACAGGGAGGTAAGTTTTAACCTACTAGACAGGGGGGTAAGTGTAACCTACAGACAAAGGTAAGTGTAACCTACTAGACAGGGGGGGGTAAGTGAACCTACTAGACAGGGAGGTGAGTGTAACCTACTAGACAGGGAGGTAAGTTAAACCTACTAGACAGGGAGGTAAGTGTAACCTACTAGACAGGGAGGTAAGTGTAACCTACTAGACAGGGAGGTAAGTGTAACCTACTAGACAGAGAGGTAAGTGTAACCTACTAGACAGAGAGGTAAGTGTAACCTACTAGACAGGGAGGTAGTGTAAAACCCACTAGACAGGGAGGTAAGTGTAAACCTACTAGACAGGGGGGGTAAGTTAACCTACTAGACAGGGAGGTAAGTGTAACCTACTAGACAGGGAGGTAAGTGTAACCTACTAGACAGGGAGGTAAGTGTAACCTACTAGACAGGGAGGTAAGTGTAACCTACTAGACAGGAGGTACGTTGTAACCTACAACAGTAAGTTAACCTACTAGACAAAGGTAAGTGTAACCTACTAGACAGGGAGGTAAGTGTAACCTACTAGACAAAGGTAAGTGTAACCTACTAGACAGGGAGGTAAGTGTAACCTACGTAAACAGGGAGGTAAGTGTAACCTACTAGACAGAGAGGTAAGTGTAAACCTCCAATAGACAGAGAGGTAAGTGTAACCTACTAGACAGGGAGGTAAGTGTAACCTACTAGACAGGGAGGTAAGTGTAACCTACTAGACAGGGAGGTAAGTGTAACCTACTAGACAGGGAGGTAAGTGTAACCTACTAGACAGGGAGGTAAGTGTAACCTACTAGACAGGGAGGTAAGTGTAACCTACTAGACAGGGAGGTAAGTGTAACTACTAGACAGGGAGGTAAGTGTAACCTACTAGCCAAAGGTAAGTGTAAACCTACTAGAAGGGAGGTAAGTGTAAACCCACTAGCCAGGGAAGGTAAGTGTAACCTACTAGACAGGGAGGTAAGGTAACCTACCGCAAGGGATGTAAGTGTACCTACTAGAAGGAGGTAAGTGTAACCTACAGACAAAGGTAAGTGTAACCTACTAGACAGAGAGGGTAAGTGTAACCTACTAGACAGGGAGGTAAGTGTAACCTACTAGACAGGGAGGTAAGTGTAACTACCCGACAGGGAGGTAAGTGTAACTTACTAGACAGGGAGGTAAGGTGGGAACCCACTAGAAGGGAGGTAAGTGTAACCTACTAGACAGGGGGGGTAAGTGTAACTAATAGACAGGGAGGTAAGTGTAACCTACTAGACAGGGAGGTAAGTGTAACCCACTGACAGGGAGGTAAGGTAAAATTACTAGACAGGGAGGTAAAGGTAACCTACTACACAGGGAGGGAAGTGTAACCTACTAAACAGGGAGGTAAATGTAACCTACTACAAGGGAGGTAGTGGTAACCTACTAGACAGGGAGGTAAGTGTAACCTACTAGACAGGGAGGTAAGTGTAACCTACTAGACAGAGAGGTAAGTGTAACCTACTAGACAGAGAGGTAAGTGTAACCTACTAGACAGAGAGGTAACTGCTGAGAGAAATACTTTATACTGTGTTTGATTGGAGTTCAATTGAATATAAGTCTGTCCTGTTTGTTTCTTATTCCAGGTGTGGCTGGAACAGTTGAAACCTCTAGCCAATCAGATCAGAGTAAGTCTGGGTGTGAGTATGAGTAGTAGTAAACTGAGTGAGAATATGGTATACAAATTTCTTGAAGGGGGTAACGACGGCGCGAGTGAGGAGGAGGAGAGAGGAGCAGCATGAGCTGAGAGCGAGCGCTAGAGCAGAGAGGGAAGGAGCGAGAGCGAGAGCTAAGCGAGAGTAAGCCAGAGAGAGATCGCTTCTCTCTCTCTTCTCTCTGTCTCATCTCATCCTCTCTCTTCTCTCTCTCTCTCTCTGTATGCTCCCTCTCTCCTCTCTACCTCTTCTCTCTATCTCCCTCCCTCCCTCCCTCCCCTCTCCCTCTCAGACACCAGTGATCTGTTCTTCAGATTCATCGTCAAGTTCTTTCCTCCAGACCCAGGGCAGCTGCAGAGAGGACTCACCAGGTGTGTGGTGTTAGTGTGTTAGTGTGTGTGTGTGTGTTAGTGACGTGCCTTCCCCAGATACATTAGTCAGTGATAGTGTTTCTATCAGTAGAGTATCACTCACTAGGGCCATCGTCAGTGATAGTGTTTCTATCAATAGAGTATCTCTCACTAGGGCCATCGTCAGTGATAGTGTTTCTATCAATAGAGTATCTCTCACTAGGGCCATCGTCAGTGATAGTGTTTCTATCAGTAGAGTAACACTCACTAGGGCCATCGTCAGTGATAGTGTTTCTGTCAATAGGGGGTCTCTCACTAGGGCCATCGTCAGTGATAGTGTTTCTATCAGTAGAGGGTCTCTCACTAGGGCCATCGTCAGTGATAGTGTTTCTGTCAGTAGAGGGTCTCTCACTAGGGCCATCGTCAGTGATAGTGTTTGTTTCTGTCAGTAGAGGGTCACTCACTAGGGCCATCGTCAGTGATAGTGTTTCTGTCAGTAGAGGGTCTCTCACTAGGGCCATCGTCAGTGATAGTGTTTCTGTCAGTAGAGGGTCTCTCACTAGGGCCATCGTCAGTGATAGTGTTTCTGTCAGTAGAGGGTCTCTCACTAGGGCCATCGTCAGTGATAGTGTTTCTGTCAGTAGAGGGTCTCTCACTAGGGCCATCGTCAGTGATAGTGTTTCTATCAGTAGAGGGTCTCTCACTAGGGCCATCGTCAGTGATAGTGTTTCTATCAGTAGAGGGTCTCTCACTAGGGCCATCGTCAGTGATAGTGTTACTGTCAGTAGAGGGTCTCTCACTAGGGCCATCGTCAGTGATAGTGTTTCTATCAGTAGAGGGTCTCTCACTAGGGCCATCGTCAGTGATAGTGTTTCTGTCAGTAGAGGGTCTCTCACTAGGGCCATCGTCAGTGATAGTGTTTCTGTCAGTAGAGGGTCTCTCACTAGGGCCATCGTCAGTGATAGTGTTTCTGTCAGTAGAGGGTCTCTCACTAGGGCCATCGTCAGTGATAGTGTTTCTGTCAGTAGAGGGTCTCTCACTAGGGCCATCGTCAGTGATAGTGTTTCTATCAGTAGAGGGTCTCTCACTAGGGCCATCGTCAGTGATAGTGTTTCTGTCAGTAGAGGGTCTCTCACTAGGGCCATCGTCAGTGATAGTGTTTCTGTCAGTAGAGGGTCTCTCACTAGGGCCATCGTCAGTGATAGTGTTTCTGTCAGTAGAGGGTCTCTCACTAGGGCCATCGTCAGTGATAGTGTTACTGTCAGTAGAGGGTCTCTCACTAGGGCCATCGTCAGTGATAGTGTTTCTATCAGTAGAGGGTCTCTCACTAGGGCCATCGTCAGTGATAGTGTTTCTGTCAGTAGAGGGTCTCTCACTAGGGCCATCGTCAGTGATAGTGTTTCTCCACAGTATTCTTATCCAAGGTCAACCAGTGACACCTGCACCTGCAGTAAGGGAACATGTTCAGGATCAAATGGTTCCAACTTGTTGCAAACATACAGTACCAGTCAAAAGTTTGGACACACCTACTCATTCAAGGGTTTTTCTTGTTTTTACTATTTTCTACATTGTAGAATGATAGTGAAGACATCAAAACTATGAAATAACACATATGGAATCATGTAGTAACCAAAAAAAGTGTTAAACAAATCAAAATACAGTGGGGAAAAAAAGTATTTAGTCAGCCACCAATTGTGCAAGTTCTCCCACTTAAAAAGATGAGAGAGGCCTGTAATTTTCATCATAGGTACACGTCAACTATGACAGACAAATTGAGAGAAAAAAATCCATAAAATCACATTGTAGGATTTTTAATGAATTTATTTGCAAATTATGGTGGAAAATAAGTATTTGGTCACCTACAAACAAGCAAGATTTCTGGCTCTCACAGACCTGTAACTTCTTCTTTAAGAGGCTCCTCTGTCCTCCACTCGTTACCTGTATTAATGGCACCTGTTTGAACTTGTTATCAGTATAAAAGACACCTGTCCACAACCTCAAACAGTCGCCAACCAAACTCCAAGACCAAAGAGCTGTCAAAGGACACCAGAAACAAAATTGTAGACCTGCACCAGGCTGGGAAGACTGAATCTGCAATAGGTAAGCAGCTTGGTTTGAATAAATCAACTGTGGGAGCAATTATTAGGAAATGGAAGACATACAAGACCACTGATAATCTCCCTCGATCTGGGGCTCCACGCAAGATCTCACCCCGTGGGGTCAAAATGATCACAAGAACGGTGAGCAAAAATCCCAGAACCACACGGGGGGACCTAGAGAATGACCTGCAGAGAGCTGAGACCAAAGTAACAAAGCCTACCATCAGTAACACACTACGCCGCCAGGGACTCAAATCCTGCAGTGCCAGACGTGTCCCCCTGCTTAAGGCAGTACATGTCCAGGCCCGTCTGAAGTTTGCTAGAGTGCATTTGGATGATCCAGAAGAGGATTGGGAGAATGTCATATGGTCAGATGAAACCAAAATAGAACTTTTTGGTAAAAACTCAACTCGTCGTGTTTGGAGGACAAAGAATGCTGAGTTGCATCCAAAGAACACCATACCTACTGTGAAGCATGGGGGTGGAAACATCATGCTTTGGGGCTGTTTTTCTGCAAAGGGACCGGGACGACTGATCCGTGTAAAGGAAAGAATGAATGGGGCCATGTATCGTGAGATTTTGAGTGAAAACCTCCTTCCATCAGCAAGGGCATTGAAGATGAAACGTGGCTGGGTCTTTCAGCATGACAATGATCCCAAACACACCGCCCGGGCAACGACGGAGTGGCTTCGTAAGCATTTCAAGGTCCTGGAGTGGCCTAGCCAGTCTCCAGATCTCAACCCCATAGAAAATCTTTGGAGGGAGTTGAAAGTCTGTGTTGCCCAGCGACAGCCCCAAAACATCACTGCTCTAGAGGAGATCTGCATGGAGGAATGGGCCAAAATACCAGCAACAGTGTGTGAAAACCTTGTGAAGACTTACAGAAAACGTTTGATCTGTGTCATTGCCAACAAAGGGTATATAACAAAGTATTGAGAAACTTTTGTTATTGACCAAATACTTATTTTCCACCATCATTTGCAAATAAAATCATAAAAAATCCTACAATGTGATTTCTGGATTTTTTTTCCTCATTTTGTCTGTCATAGTTGACGTGTACCTATGATGAAAATTACAGGCCTCTCTCATCATTTTAAGTGGGAGAACTTGCACAATTGGTGGCTGACTAAATACTTTTTTCCCCCACTGTATATATTTAGATTTGAGATTCTTCAAAGTAGCCATCCTTTGCCTTGATGACAGCTTTGCACATTCTTGGCAATCTCTCAACCAGCTTCATGAGGAATGCTTTTCCAACAGTCTTGAAGGAGTTCCATCTGACCCTGGTGTACAGTATATCTATCTATCTGACCCAGATGTACAGTATATCTATATATCTGACCCAGGTGTACAGTATATCTATCTATCTGACCCAGATGTACAGTATGTACAGTGGAGAGAACAAGTATTTGATAACCTGCAAAATCGGCAGTGTTTCCTACTTACAAAGCATGTAGAGGTCTGTAATTTTTATCATAGGTACACTTCAACTGTGAGAGACGGAATCTAAAACAAAAATCCAGAAAATCACATTGTATGATTTTTAAGTAATTCATTTTCATTTTATTGCATGACATAAGTATTTGATCACCTACCAACCAGTAAGAATTCCGGCTCTCACAGACCTGTTAGTTTTTCTTTAAGAAGCCCTCCTGTTCTCCACTCATTACCTGTATTAACAGCACCTGTTTGAACTCGTTACCTGTATAAAAGACACCTGTCCACACACTCAATCAAACAGACTCCAACCTCTCCACAATGGCCAAGACCAGAGAGCTGTGTAAGGACATCAGGGATAAAATTGTAGACCTGCACAAGGCTGGGATGGGCTACAGGACAATAGGCAAGCAGCTTGGTGAGAAGGCAACAACTGTTGGCGCAATTATTAGAAAATGGAAGAAGTTCAAGATGACGGTCAATCACCCTCGGTCTGGGGCTCCATGCAAGATCTCACCTCGTGGGGCATCAATGATCATGAGGAAGGTGAGGGATCAGCCCAGAACTACACGGCAGGACCTGGTCAATGACCTGAAGAGAGCTGGGACCACAGTCTCAAAGAAAACCATTAGTAACACACTACGCCGTAATGGATTAAAATCCTGCAGCGCACGCAAGGTCCCCCTGCTCAAGCCAGCGCATGTCCAGGCCCGTCTGAAGTTTGCCAATGACCATCTGGATGATCCAGAGGAGGAATGGGAGAAGGTCATGTGGTCTGATGAGACAAAAATAGAGCTTTTTGGTCTAAACTCCACTCGCCGTGTTTGGAGGAAGAAGAAGGATGAGTACAACCCCAAGAACACCATCCCAACCATGAAGCATGGAGGTGGAAACATCATTCTTTGGGGATGCTTTTCTGCAAAGGGGACAGGACGACTGCACCGTATTGAGGGGAGGATGGATGGGGCCATGTATCGCGTGATCTTGGCCAACAACCTCCTTCCCTCAGTAAGAGCATTGAAGATGGGTCGTGGCTGGGTCTTCCAGCATGACAACGACCCGAAACACACAGCCAGGGCAACTAAGGAGTGGCTCCGTAAGAAGCATCTCAAGGTCCTGGAGTGGCCTAGCCAGTCTCCAGACCTGAACCCAATAGAACATCTTTGGAGGGAGCTGAAAGTCCGTATTGTCCAGCGACGGCCCCGAAACCTGAAGGATCTGGAGAAGGTCTGTAAGCAGGAGTGGGCCAAAATCCCTGCTGCAGTGTGTGCAAACCTGGTCAAGACCTACAGGAAACGTATGATCTCTGTAATTGCAAACAAAGGTTTCTGTACCAAATATTAAGTTCTGATGTATCAAATACTTATGTCATGCAATAAAATGCAAATTAATTACTTAAAAATCATACAATGTGATTTTCTGGATTTTTGTTTTAGATTCCGTCTCTCACAGTTGAAGTGTACCTATGATAAAAATTATAGACCTCTACATGCTTTGTAAGTAGGAAAACCTGCAAAATCGGCAGTGTATCAAATACTTGTTCTCCCCACTGTATATCTAGCTGACCCAGGGTGTACAGTATATCTATCTATCTGACCCAGGTGTCTTCTCCTCTGTGCCAGGTATCTGTTTGCTCTCCAGATAAAGCAGGACCTCTCTACAGGCAGTCTGACCTGTAATGACAACAGCGCCGCCCTGCTGGTCTCCCATTTACTGCAGTGTGAGTCAAGCCTAATCAGTTACACCTAGAAAGGGAACAGAAGCCAACGGGCCGAAATCAGTGTTTTAGTTTTCTGTTGTAAAATATATATTTTTATGTTTTGCTATTGCACAACCCTGCCATTCACTGTTTAGATAACATGTATTCCTCCATAACTTGCTACATTTGCACACACTGTATATATATTTTCTGTTGTATTTTTGACTTTATGTTTTGTTTACCCCATATGTAACTCTGTGTTGTTGTTTTTTATCGCACTGCTTTGCTTTATCTTGGCCAGGTCGCAGTTGTAAATGAGAACTTGTTCTCAACTGGCTTACCTGGTTAAATAAAGGTGAAATAAAGGTGAAATAAATAAATAAATTTAAATAAATCCTTGGATTATAGCCGTAACTCAAGCCTCAAATTAACCTACCTGAAATGACTGACTTATTTGCTGTGTGTGTTTGTACATATGCCTTTGTTTGTGTGTGTGTGTTCCTCCATATGTGTGCGTCAATGCGTGAGGCATGCATGTGTGCTTCCGTCCGTGCACGTGTGCTTCCGTCCGTGCACGTGTGCTTCCGTCCGTGCACGTGTGCTTCCGTCCGTGCACGTGTGCTTCCGTCCGTGCACGTGTGCTTCCGTCCGTGCACGTGTGCTTCCGTCCGTGCACGTGTGCTTCCGTCCGTGCACGTGTGCTTCCGACCGTGCACGTGTGCTTCCGTCCGTGCACGTGTGCTTCCGACCGTGCACGTGTGCTTCCGACCGTGCACGTGTGCTTCCGTCCGTGCACGTTTGCTTCCGACCGTGCACGTGTGCTTCCGTCCGTGCATGTGTGTATGCGTGTGTGTTGTGCAGCAGAGCTGGGAGACTACGAGGAAGAGTTGGACATCCACCATCTAGAGCTGAAACAATACGTTCCTAACCAGGAATACCTGGACCACAAGATCATGAAGTTCCACAGGAAACACAGGTAAGCACTTAGCATTAGCATCTACTGTCACTGCCATAGAGATCCTATGGTCCCTGTGGAAGCGCTTCCTTAGCATTAGCATCTACTGTCACTGCCATAGAAATCCTATGGTCCCTGTGGAAGCGCTTCCTTAGCATTAGCATCTACTGTCACTGCCATAGAGATCCTATGGTCCCTGTGGAAGTGCTTCCTTAGCATTAGTATCTACTGTCAATGCCATAGTTATCAGCGTTTAAAATTACATTTTGGTCCACCAGCCACTGTGGCAGGTAGATTAAAAATCTACCAGCCACTCAGATTTTTTACCACCCATTTTTTCTGCTTAAAATACACCAACAAAACACAAAGAAACGGAGGAGCATGCTTTGTAAAGTTCCTAAAACAAGAAATGTATTACTAGTAAGAAATAATGTGGCATATTGTTTAATTTCATTTTTTTGTATCACAGATGAGACAAAACATTTCACCTGCCCCTTTAAGTGCGGGAGGTTACCGTGGTAACACGACTGCAGTCATGTTTGTGCCTATGAGATTGAAGTCTTCTCTTCCCTAGCAGTTGAAACTCAAACATTGAAAAACAGCCTAGCTGGTGAACAAAACAATGTAAATAGCCAAGAAACACAAGGACAAAGTCTCACTTCACTAGACTTTAGCTTCAAGTAAATTAGACCAACTTTTATGCCTGTGTTTAGCGCTTCTAAAAATGCACCTTTCACTCAGCTCTTCACGTGCGCACGGCCCCCCCCAACGCCAGGCAGTGTTGCAGCGTGAGGTGAAATAGACTTTATAGGATTCGTAGTTCTTTGACTTTGTGCGATTAATTTACCAGATATGAAACAAAACGGCAGAAATACTTTGAAAACAGCTACTGCAGCATTTATTTGACTATAAATGTGATCATACTCGACAATTTCTATTCACAAATGCGAGTGAAATGCTCGCACTGTGGGAACCCTGACCACCAGCCAACGTGGCTGGTGAAACAGACATTTGACCTGCAAATAGGTAAATCACTTCAGGTGGGTTAATTTGACCTGCAAGTTACGGCTGTAATCCAAGGGAATGGAATAAATGTTATCTACACAGCGAATGGCAGGGTTGTGTACACAATTAGCAAAACGTTAAAAAAAAGTAGTTTACAACAGAAAACCAAAAACACTGATTTCTTATTAGACAAGTTCCCTGCCTGTTTCGTCCCGTTGCCTTCTGTTCCCTTTCTACCTGCAGGTGGCGGGTGTTCATTTTAGGCCCTGATAGAGATCCTGTGGTCCTTGTGGAAGCACTTCCTTAGCATTAGCATCTACTGTCCCTGCCATAGAGATCCTGTGGTCCTTGTGGAAGCACTTCCTTAGCATTAGCATCTACTGTCCCTGCCATAGAGATCCTGTGGTCCTTGTGGAAGCACTTCCTTAGCATTAACATCTACTGGCCCTGCCATAGAGATCCTGTGGTCCTTGTGGAAGCACTTCCTTAGCATTAACATCTACTGGCCCTGCCATAGAGATCCTGTGGTCCTTGTGGAAGCACTTCCTTAGCATTAGCATCTACTGTCCCTGCCATAGAGATCCTGTGGTCCTTGTGGAAGCACTTCCTTTGCATTAACATCTACTGTCCCTGCCATAGAGATCCTGTGGTCCTTGTGGAAGCACTTCCTTAGCATTAGAATAAACAGTAAGGTCACCATCTATAGGTGAAACAGTATGTTCTTAACCAAGAGTACCCGGACCACAAGATTATAAAGGTTCCATAGGAAATGCAGGTACAAACACACACACACACACTGATTAATTATCTGATTGCCTGATTGGTTGATTGGTTGATTGGTTGATTGGTTGATTGATTGTTCCAGGGGTCACTCTCCTGCGGAGTCAGACGTCCATCTCTTGGAGGTTGCTAGGAAACTGGACATGTACGGGATCCGCCCCCACCCTGCCCACGATGGAGAGGGCATGAGACTCAACCTGGCCGTCACACACTCTGGAGTACTGGTGTTTCAGGTACACACAGTCTTGTATAACTAACCTTCTGGGGACACACAATTCAGTCCCATTCAACCCTACTGTAAACATAACCCTAGCCTTAACCCTAACCCGAAAAATTTAACCCTGAACCTAATCCTAGCTCCTAATCCTAACCCTAAACCTAATCCTAGCTCCTAATCCTAACCCTAAACCTAATCCTAGCTCCTAATCCTAGCTCCTAATCCTAACCCTGAACCTAATCCTAGCTCCTAATCCTAACCCTGAACCTAATCCTAGCTCCTAATCCTAACCCTAAAACTAACCCTAGCTCTGAACCCTTAACCTAATTCTAACCCTAACACTAATTCTAACCTTAACCCCCCTAGAAATAGCATTTAACCTTGTGGGAAGCAACAAAATGTCCCCAGTTGGTCAAATGTTTGTTCATTTACTATTCTTGCGGGGACTTCTGGTCACCACAAGTATAGTCAAACACGTCCACACTGACCAGTCTCCTGTCTCTCCTCTCCAATGTTTGTTCATTTACTATTCTTGTAGGGACTTCTGGTCACCACAAGTATAGTCAAACACGTCCACACTCTGACCAGTCTCCTGTCTCGTCTCCAGGGTAACACTAAAATTAACACCTTCAGCTGGGCCAAGGTCCGTAAACTGAGCTTCAAGAGGAAACACTTCCTCATCAAACTACACGACCAAATAGGGGTGAGAGTCCTAATACCCAAGCATGTTCTATTCAACTTTGTAAGACCGTTTCAAATCATATGAATCCTCTGTTCTCCAAGTGTATCTAGATATCTCACATTTTCAAGAATTAATACGTGTTTTTAAAGGAAACTTCAAGAGAATATATATTTTAGTGTGTACGACTTCTTAAAATATAAAACTTCTTAAAATATATTTACCTGTGTCTCCACGCGTGTGCCCCCCCCCCCCAGCCCTTCCGTAAGGACACGGTAGAGTTTGCGATGGCGAGTCGAGACGTCTCTAAGTCCTTCTGGAAGACCTGTGTTGAATACCATGCCTTCTTCAGACTGGCCCGAAGAGCCCCAGTCACGCCGCAAGACTCTGCTGTCCAGCAAGGGGTCCAGCTTCAGATACAGGTTACACACACTGAGTACACACACACACACACACACTGGGTACACACACACACACACTGAGTACACACACACACACACACACACATACACTGGGTACACACACACACAGATACAGGTACACACACTGAGTACACACACACACACACACACACTGGGTACACATACACACTGGGTACACACACAAACACACACACACTGGGTACACACACACACACTGAGAACACACACACACACACTGAGTACACACACACACACACACACACCACACACACACACAACTGGGTACACACACACACACTGAGTACACACACACACACTGGGTACACACACACACACACACACACACACACTGAGAACACACACACACACACACTGAGAACACACACACACACACTGAGTACACACACACACACACAATGGGTACACACACACACACACAATGGGTACACACACACATGCAAGCACATACACGTGCATACATGAAAGCCACACTCACTCACACACTGTGTTCAGCTGATTGAAACTAACTGTTTACTGTTTCAGTGGCAGGACCCAGAAACAGCTGTTGGAGTGTATGGGGACAGGAGAGAGGAAACGCATGCCTTTCCAGAGGTGGGAAGACTGTGTGTGTGTGTGTGTGTGTGTGTGTGTGTGGTGTGTGTGTGTGTCTGTGTCTGTGTCTGTGTGTGTGTGTGTGTGTGTGTGTGTGTGTGTGTGTGTGGTGTGTGTGTGGTGTTGTGTGTGGTTTGGTGTGTGTGTGTGTGTGGTGTGTGTGTGTTGTGGTGTGGTGGTGGTGTGTTTTGTTTTTGGGTTTTTTGGGGTGGTGTGGGGTTTTGGGGGGGTGTGGTTTGGGGGTTTTTTTTTGTTTGTGTGTGTAAAGTCTTTTTTTGTGTTTTGGTTTTGTGTGTTGTGTGTTGTGTGTGTTTTGTTTTTTTTGGGGTTTTTTTGTGTGGTGTGGGGTTTTTGTGTGGTTGTGTGTGTGTGTGTTTTTTGGTTTTTGTGGTGTGTGGTGTGTTGGGGTTTTTTGTTTTTTGGTTTGTGTGTGTTTGTTGTTTTTGTGTGTGTGTTGGGTTCCCCCCTTTTTCCCAAACCTTTCCCTTAGGGGCCTAATCAGACGCCAGAAGTTTAAAATTTCCCCTCCTACCCCTCACAGACGGGCCCCCAAAAAAGGTAAAATATCATCTAATTTTTTACATAGCAACCATGGAGCCAAAAATTGGGAAATTTTAAAAATTAAAGTTTTTTGATTAGGGGGCGTCACCCCCCCACCCTATCTGAAAAGTTATTGATTGGGTCGCACCACAAACCCCCCTATCTGAGGGTTTTTGATTTGGGTTTTCAGACCACCCCCCTACTGATGTTATTGAAAAGGGATTCCCAAAACCACCCTATCGGAAAGTTATTGATTTGGGTTTTTTCACCACCCCACCCCATCTGAGTTTTTTGATTAGGGTTGTTTCCCCCCACCACCCCATCTTTAAAGTTTTTGATTAGGGGTTTTTCACCACACCACCCCCCATCTGTGTTTTGGGTTAGGGTTGTCACCACAAAAAACCCTTCCCGATGTTTTGTTAGGGTTTTTTTCCCCCAAAACAAACCCCATATGATTTTAATGAATTTAAAATCAAACCCTACTAACCCCCCATAAAATCCCTCTGGAGGAGAATATTGAGGGAAAATGGGGGGTTTTATGGAGGGGATATTTTAGGGGTTTTAGGAGGGGGAATATGGAGGGGTCATTTGGGGGGTTATGGAGGGGTAAAATGGAGGGGGAAATGGAGGGGTTTTTGGGGGTTTTTGGGGTTTTTATTTTTTTTTTTGGGGGTTTGGGGGAAAATTTTGGAGGGGTTTGTGGTTTTTATTGGGGTTTTTTGGGGGGTTGGTGGGTTTTGGGGGGTTTGGGGGGTTTGGGGGGTTGGGGTTTGGGGGGGTTGGGGTGTTGGGGGGGTTTGGGGGGTTTTGGGGGGTTGGGGGGTTTGGGGGGTTTTGGGGGATTTGGGGTTTGGGGGGGGGTGGTTTCTGGGGGTTTTGGGGGGTTTGGGGGTTTGGGGGATTGGGGGTTTGGGGGGGTTTTGGGGGTTTGGGGGGTTGTGGGGGTTTTGGGGGGTTTGGGGGTTGGGGGGTTGGGGGGCCTTGGCGGGATTTGGGGGGTATTGGCGGGGGTTTGGCGGGCCTCTGGGGGCCCTTTGGGGTGGGTTTGGGGGCCCCTGGGGGCCCCCCTTTGGGGGCCCGGGCGGGGGCCCCCTTTGGGGGTCCCCTTTGGGGTTTGGCGGGGTCCTTTTGGCCCGGGGCCTCGGAGGCGTTCTGGGGGGCCTTGGCGGGTTCTGGCGGGGGCTCTGGCCGGGGCCTCTGGGGGGTCTCCTGGGGGGCCCCTGGCGGGGCCTCTGGCCCCGCCTTGGCGGGGGGCCCCTTTCCCGGGGGCCCTGGCGGGGGCCCCTGGGGGGGCCCCGGGGGGGGTTTGGGGGGGTTTTGGCGGGGGCCCCGGGGGGGCCTCGGCGGGGTCTTGGGGGGGGCCCCTTTGGGGGGGCCTCGGCCGCGCCCTGGCGGGGCCCCCTGGCGGGGCCTCTGGGGGCCCCCTGGCGGGGGCTCTGGCGGCGCCTCTGGGGGGGTTCTGGCGGGGGCCCCTTGCGGGGTCTCTGGGGGGGTCCTGGCGGGGGCCCTTTGGGGGGGTCTCTGGCGGGGCCCCGGCGGCCCTCTGGGGGTCCTGGCGGGGCCCCTGGGGGGGCCCCTGGCGGCCCCCTCCGGGGTCTCTGGGGGGGTCTTGGGGGGTCTCTGGGGGGTCTCGGCGGGGCCTCTGGCGGGGCCTCTGGGGGGGTTTCTGGGGGTCTCTGGCGGGGCCTTCGGGTTTTTGCGGGCCTTGGCGGGTCTTGGGGGCTCTCTGGCGGGCCCCCTGGGGGGCCTCTGGGGGGTCTCTGGGGGGTCTTGGGGGGTCTTGGCGGGGGCCCGGGGGGCCTCTGCGGGGCCCCCTTTGGGGGGTTCTGGGGGGGCCTTGGCGGGGTTTTCTGGCGGGGCTCTGGCGGGCCCTGGCGGGGCCTCCCTTTGGGGGGGTCCTGGGGGGGCTCTGGGGGGGGTCTCTGGGGGCTCTCTGGGGGGGGGTCTGGGGGGCTCTGGGGGGTCTCTGGGGGGGCCCTGGCGGGGCCGGCGGGGGCCCCGGCGGGCCTCTGGGGGGTCCCCCTGGGGGCCTTGGGGGCTCTGGCGGGGGGGTCGGGGGGGTCTCTGGCGGGGCCTCTGGCGGGGCCTCGGCGGGGCCCCTCTGGCGGGTCTCTGGCGGGCCTCTGGCGGGGTTCTGGGGGGGCCTCTGGCGGGTCCGGGGGGCCTCTGGCGGGGCCCTGGCGGGCTCTCTGCGGGTCTCTGGGGGGCCTCTGGGGGGGTCTCCTGGGGGGGCCCCCGGCGGGGTCTGGGGGGGGTCTCTGCGGGGGTTTTGGCGGGGGCCCCTGGCGGGCCTCGGCGGGCCTCTGGCGGGGCCCCTGGCGGGGTCTCTGGCGGGGTCCCCCCTGGGGGGGCCTCTGGGGGGTTTTCTGGCGGGGCCCGGGCGGGGGCTCGGGGGGCCCCCTGGCGGTCTTGGCGGGGCCCCTGGGGGGGGCCTCGGGGGGGGGGGGTTGGCGGGTCCCTGTGGCGGGGCCCCCTTTGGGGGCCTCTGGCCGCGCCTCCGGGGCCTTGGCGGGGCCCTGGCGGGGCCCTGGCGGGTCTCTGGGCGCCCCTGCGGGGGCTCTTGGGGGGCTCTCTGGGGGGTCTCTGGCGGCGCCCCCCCGGCGGGGGCTTGGCGGCGCCTTGGGGGGTCTTGTCGGGGGTCTGCGGGGCCTCGGGTCTCGGCGGCTCTCGGCGGGGGCCCGGCGGCGCCCCTGGGGTTCTGGCGGGGCCCCTGGCGGGGGCCCCTGGGGGCCCTTGGGGGCGCTCGGCGGGTCCTGGGGGGCCTTGGCGGGGCCCTGGGGGGGCCCTTTGGGGGGCCCTGGGGGGCCCTGGCGGGTCTCGGGGGGGCCTCTGGGGCGCCTTGGCGGGGTCCCTTTGCGGGGCCTCTGGGGGGGCCTCTGGGGGGGTCTCTGGGGGGGTCCTGGGGGGGCCTCGGGGGGGTCCTGGGGGGGCCTCTGGGGGGGCCTCTGGCGGGGTTTGGCGGGGCCCCCTTTTGGGGGCTCTGGGGGGGGCCCTTGCGTTCCCCGGGGGGCCCTGGGGGGTCTGTGGCGGGGGCCCCTGGGGGGCCCCCTGGGCCCCGCCTCTGGCGGGGGCCCCTGGCGGGGCCTCTGGGGGCCTCTGGCGGGGTCTTGGGGGGCCCCTCTGGCGGGTCTTGGCGGTTCTGGCGGGGGTTTTGGGGGCCTCGGCGGGGTTCTGGCGGGGCCTCTGGCGGGGTCCTGTGGGGCCCCGGCGGGGGTTGGCGGCTTCTGGGGCCCCCCCCCCCGCCGGGGTTTCCCCCCCCTCTGGGGGGGCCCCTGGCGGGGCCTCTGGGGGTCCTGGGGGCCTTGGCGGGGCCTCTGGCGGGGCCTTGGCGGGGGTCTGGCGGGGTCTCTGGCGGGGCCTCTGGGGGGCCCCTGGCGGGTCTTGGGGGCCCTCTGGGGGGGCCTTGGGGGGGTCTGGCGGGCCCCCTGGCGGGCCTCTGGCGGGTTCTGGCGGGGTTTTGGCGGGGCCCCGGCGGGGCTCTGGCGGGGCCCGGGGGCCCTCTGGGGGGTCTTGGCGGGCCCGGCGGGGCCTCTGGGGTTTCCCTTGGGGGCCTTGGCGGCCCCCGGGGGGTTCCCCCTGGCGGGGGCCCCTGGCGGGGCCTCTGGCGGCTCTGGCGGGGCCTCCGGCGGGGCTCTTGCGGTCCCCTGGCGGGTTCTTGGCGGGGCCTCTGGCCGGGGGCTCTGGGGGCCTCTGGCGGGGTCTCTGGGGGGGCCTCTGCGGGGGCCTTTTGCGGGGCCCTTTCGGCGGGCCCTCTGGCGGGCCTCTGGCGGGGTCTCTGGGCGGGGCCTCTGGCGGGCCTCGGCGGGGTCCTCTGGCGGGGCCTCTGGCGGGTCTCTGGCGGGTCTCTGCGGGGTCCTCTGCGGGGCCTCTGGCGGGGTCTCTGGCGAGGGGCCTCTGGCGGGGGCCTCTGGCGGGTCTCTGGCGGGGCCTCTGCGGGGTTCTCTGGCGGGCTCTCTGGCGGGTCTCTGGCGGGGCCTCTGGGGGGGCCTCGGCGGGCTCTGTCGGGGCCTCTGGCGGGGTCTCTGGCGGGTCTTTGCGCCCTCTTCCTCCGTTGGCCGCTCCGTCCTGGGTCTGCGTGCTGCGCCTGTTGTCTTTGTTGTAGTTGGCCTACCTAATGGCCACATTTGTTTTCAATATAATAATTGAATGTGAACATACCATTGACAAAGACTGACGTGTCGTTGAATGTCGATGCCGACTCCAGAGTCTGTCTTCCGACTGTATTCTGTCAGTATCCACTCGGTCATTCTGAGGGGGATATGGAGGGGTATATATCCACTCTGTCATTTTGAGGGGGATATGGAGGGGGATATATCCACTGTCATTCTGAGGGGGGATAGAGAGGGGATATATCCACTGTCATTCTGAGGGGATATGGAGGGGGATATATCCACTGTCATTCTGAGGGGGATATGGAGGGGGATATATCCACTGTCATTCTGAGGGGGATATGGAGGGGGATATATCCACTGTCATTCTGAGGGGGATATGGAGGGGGATATATCCACTGTTATTCTGAGGGGGATATGGAGGGGGATATATCCACTCTGTCATTCTGAAAGTTTTTCCTCTGATGACGAAACGCAGAGGATGACGTGGTAGTGTTTTGGTGTGCGTTCGTTTTATCCTGCCAGGGGTGCTGGGTCAGCGCCAGCAGCGTTTTCATCTTGTTAAACTCGTGGAGCAGTTTAACAACAAATTCTTTTTTGGGGGGAAAACAGAGTTTTTCACAATGCATTTCGTTTTATAGCTTATCTCATGCTATTCTATACATTTTGCCATGAAGATGATAGAACATTTTGCAGTTTTAAAGCAAATTTCCTGCTATTCCACACAGTATGAAAAAATATATATTTTATGTATGCACTGGATAAGAGCGTCTGCTAAATGACTAAAATGTAAATGTAAATGTAAATTTTGCTATGAGGCTGAGAGAAAATGTAGCATTTTAAAGCTAATTTCCTGCAATTCTACACATTTTGCCATTGCCTATGATGTGTTCATATACTTTTATTTTATATTTAAAAAAAAATGTTTTATTGTGGGGGATGAATCAACCTGTTCTGAATATTGGGGGGGGGGACATGTCCCCCCCATCCCCTGTGGCAATGTCAGCCATGAGTAAAACACAGAGCAGTCTAAACTCTTTGATCCTTTAAAAACCTGCTTCATGTAAAATATTTTGTGCTACAGCTTGGAAAATAAATACAATGTGACTCTGGATGACAACATAAGACATTTTGTTTCCAACTACGGTATCTAGGCAATACTGGTATCGTGACAACCCTACCAATGACAATTTCAATAATCCACGGTAACATGTCCATCCACATCATGTTCTCCACCAGCTCTACAAGCAGTCCCACCCGTTACCGCGCCCCGGAGGCCACGCCCTCGCTCACAGCGAAGGGGAAGTGGAACGACAACGGGGAGTGGGAGGAGCTAACCCTAAACGCAGCCAATCAGCTGTCGAGGTGGTCTTCTCCACGGAACTCCAGCGGTCCCGCCTCCCACAAGCTTTCCACCTATCAACGGCCTCTCCTAAGCAAAGGTCCGCCTCTACATCGGTAGACATCGGGGAAAGGAGGGCGGGGGGGCAACGGCAGGGAGGGGCCGGGCATAGATTCGGAGGAGGGGTTTACCATGGAAACAGCAGGGCCAAACGTCGGCCCAAACCCCAGTCCGCCTCCGACGCGCAGCAATTGGTCCTCCTGTATCCCAATAACCCCGCTTACAAGTTCCATCCAGTCCTTCCAACATTCCCATTGGCCAGTTATCCGCACGGACAGGCCTACTTTTTGGACGGCGCCGTCACCTCATTGGAGCGTCTCCCGCAGATGCACCGCTTAGACCACGCCCCGTTGGAGGGGCTGACACGCCCTTCTCTCTACTCACGCTCTGATTCGTCCTCCCTGTCGCCACTCAGGCGGAATCTCCGCCCATCCGGGCTGGGATTGGCCAGGGTCTACCAGGGCGGGCTCTCGAGCGGAAACGCAGCCAGGAGATTGGACGTCGGGAGAATAGAGGCGGGGCATTACAGCGACGACTCCAACTTCCTGCCTGGACTTCCTCGTCGTGCCACCAGCCAACCGGACGTCAAGTTCCCCAGAGTAGTCCCCGCCTCCAACCCCGCCTCTGAGTTCCGTCCCCTAGGTTACTACCCCCACCTATCACGTCACCAGACTCCACAAAGACCCTCCTACCTGCCTCTAAACTCCTCCCCCTTACCAGACCGGCCCACCTCACTGTGTGTCCTAGGGGGAGTCGGTGGAAGCTACAGCGATTCAGACCCAGAGGTGTTCTATCCCTACTACAGCCCAGCACCCCCGTTGGGTAAAGTGGTACGGTCCAATGCTCTGGCTAGGATGAGGTTCTCCTCTGGGAGTTTACAACTGGAGGAGGAAGAGGAGGGGGAAGAGGAAGAGGAGAGGTATAGCAGTGGGGGAGAGGGGAAGCCTCGGATTACGAAATTGAGACTGTAGAATAGTGTTGTGTGACGTGTGTGTGTGTGTGGTCAGGATGACATTTGGTATATTCAGGATGCTTTGTACATTGAATGGACACTCCAAAACGTATACAGTGTTGAATTGAACGTTCGGTTACAGACATGTGCCCGTTTTGTACAACTTTACAAAAAGTAGCGTATCCTGTTTTGATTGAAGGTTTTGGTACATGTCTGAATTAATCTGTCAATAAAGAGTGTAATCTGTATGAAGATCACGGTGTCTTTACTTGAGAACGAACATGATCTGAACATCATATTCATAAAGCATCGACACTGAACAAAAATTTTACTCAGCATGCAACAATTACAAATATTTTACTGAGTTACAGTTCACATAAGGATATCACTCAATTGAAATAAAATGCATTAGGCCCTAATCTATGTATTTCACATGACTGGGAATACAGATATGCATCTGTTGGTCACAGATACCTTAAAAAAAAAAAAAAAAAGTAAGGGCGTGGATCAGAAAACCAGTCAGTATCTGGTGTGACCGCAATTTGCCTCACGCAGCGCTACACATCTCCTTCGCATAGAGTTGATCAGAAGTGGAGTGCTAATCTAGAAATCAGTTTTATCTTTCAGATCATAATAAATAAAAGATTATATGGAGCAGGGTTGGGGTCAATTCCATTTAAATTCAGGAAGTAAACCAACATTACAATTGCAATTCTCTTCAATGCTTTTCAATGGAGGAAACATTTGAATTGGGAGTTTGGTAATTTTTTTTTAAATTTACTCGAATTGAAATGGAATTGACCCCAAACCCTGATATGGACCTGATGCTAGATCAGCATTTCTACTTTGAGACACTTTTTGAATACGGGCCCTGGATATAAAATCAATACCCATTTTACTAAACATTTTTACTACATAGATTCAGAGGCTTTGACTAACAAACCAGCACGTAGCCGAAAACACTGCAACACACAAATGTTAAGGCCAAAATGTAATATTTATTCAAAAAAAAAAATCCCACACAAATGAACTTTAAAAACACACACAAAAGATTGTTAAACACAAGCACACATCTTCCCCTCAGCATTTCTCCCGACACACTCTTTACTGTTACCAATAAACGTATAATTTTTTTTTATCAAACTATATTTACAACATTACTCTTTCAACATCTATTGAAATCTAAAAATGGATCATGCAACAATTTTCTAAATTTCCCAGACAAATTAGATATGTGTGATCTACTAATCCCATATAAAAACAAGAAATGTAATATTTAAATGTATCCAATATACAGGTAACGTTAAAAAGCAGGTCCCTGAGTTTTTAATTTTGTTGAAAATGTGGAGGAAATGTGAAAAACGACTCTAGATGGCACTGGTGTGGGTGCTACGGAACTGGAATGGGTGATACGGAACTGGAATGGGTGCTACGGAACTGGAATGGGTGCTACGGAACTGGTGTGGGTGCTACGGAACTGGAATGGGTGCTACGGAACTGGAATGGGTGCTACGGAACTGGAATGGGTGCTACGGAACTGGAATGGGTGCTACGGAACTGGTGTGGGTGCTACGGAACTGGAATGTTGGTGGGATGACATTCTAACTGAATTCTGGAATAGAACACTGGGGATAAATGTCAACAAAAACCCTACACTCCTGAACAGAGTTTTGACACTCCACTGGCTCCTAGGTTAGGATCCCTATCCGTCTCCTTGGCCTTAACCCTTCAATGTTTTCCGATCTGTAAGGTCGAATCAACATAGTGGAAGCTCCACCACTACACTGATTATACCTATCAAGAGCCTTCAGACATGCTAACATTGAGGGGGTTAAGACGAAGGGCAAGGGGTTAGACGGGTAGTGATTTGTAACCAGCTGAGAGTTAATGAGTAATATACTCAGTGAATGAACAGGCGACAGACGAGCTAGCTGGTTGGGGAAAGTACATCTCTATGTGTCGAGGTAGACAGTACATCGTAGCCTTTTCCACTGTGCTAAGACCACTGTGCTCAGTGAATGAACAGGCGACAGACGAGCTAGCTGGTTGGGGAAAGTACATCTCTATGTGTCGAGGTAGACAGTACATCGTAGCCTTTTCCACTGTGCTAAGACCCAAGATAGTCAGCAAAGCAAGATAGTTGAGTTACATTACTGGGGTGTGTGTTTGGACAGACAGCGAAGCTTTTGACTAGACTGAACTTTTACATTTCTTCTTTTCTTCCCTCTTTCGTTTAGCTGGAATCTACCTCCAATCTCTCTCTCCTTCCATCTCTTCTCCTTTATGTTGGAGTGAAACTGAGAGAGAGAGAGAGAGATTTATTAGAAGAGAGAGAGAGAGGGGGGGAGAGAGAGAGATTTATCAGAAGAAGAGAGAGGGGGAGAGAGAGAGAGAGAGAGAGAGAGAGAGGATGAGAGGAGAGAAACTTACTTCTGGAAGCGTGCTATGATCCTGGCGACCATCTTGTCTGTGACTCCAGGACAGACGTCTTCAGCCAGCTGGATGTTTCTCTCCAACTCCTCTATAGCATGCCTCTGTTCAGCACCGTCCCGGTGATCAAACTTCAGCTGCAACATATACATTCAGAAATGTCCAATAACACTGTCTGAACATATCAACATGCATCTGAAGCATATTTACCTCAGAGAAGACTGTGGCTTTACTGATGGACTTCAAGTGCTGCTCCTGGTCCTGGTCCTGGTCCTGGGGGGGGGAGAGCGTGAGAGAGAGAGGTTAGCTAGGGATGTTAACAAGGAAATCCTCTGTGCAGACGAACCAACCAACACACACTGACCGCTCCACTGAGCACCTTCCTGACGTCCTTATCTTTCTTCCGTACGGTGGTGAACGACCACTCGGGCTGTGACGGGCTGTTCTCCTTGTTACTGGACTCACTGAGGAGAGAGATGAAAGGGTTACACACACACAACACCCCCCCCTCACCCCCCCACCCCACCCCACACCCCCCTAGACCTACCCATCGTCGTCTGAGCTAGAGTCGTCATCACTGTGTTCTTCAGTCTTCCATCTCTGAAACCTGTCTATCAGTTCAGTCAGGTAGGAAGTCTTCTTGCAGTTCTTTACTATGAACTTATGTTTCAACAACTCTCCGGCTGAGGGTCTCTGGAGGAGGGAGGGAGGGAGTAGGAGAGAAAGAGGAGAGGGAGGGAGGGAGTAGAGTAGGAGAGAAAGAGGAGAGAGAGGGAGGGAGTAGAGTAGGAGAGAAAGAGGAGAGAGAGGGAGGGAGTAGAGTAGGAGAGAAAGAGGAGAGAGAGGGAGGGAGTAGAGTAGGAGAGAAAGAGGAGAGAGAAGGAGTAGAGTAGGAGAAAAGAAATAGAAGAATTGGGTAGCGAAGCAAAATATATTCAACCAACAGGTGGCAGCAACAAGCAAGATTTCTCACACAGGTTGAATCTCAATTGTATTTCCTCGATTCCTAACATCCTTTCACACTTGATGAAGATCAGCAGGGAGCAACCTCAGATCTTCTCTCATCAAAATTCGTTTTTTTTGAGAAAGAGACAAGGAGATGAGGACAAGAGGTAGGAAGTAAACCCATGGACACGCCCCCCCCCCCCCCCCTTCCAATGTACTTACGAAGACTGGATCCTTATTGAGACAGGAGTCAGTGAACTCCTTGAAGCTCTTGGAGAAATCTCCCCCGAGGGAGGGGGGACTGCTCTTCGGGATCAGGAAGAGAACCCTCATAGGGTGTATGTCACTGTTTGGAGGCTCTCCTTTAGCTAGCTCTATAGCTGTTATACCTAAAGACCAGATATCAGCCTAGAGGGGTGGGGAGAATGAACAGAACAACAACCACCACAGGGTTGAACATTTAAACAACAACAACCACCACAGGATTTGAACATTTAAAAGAACAACAACCACAGGGTTGAACATTTAAACAACAACCACCACAGGGTTCATATCACTATTAGGAGGTTGGCCTTTATCTCTGGAGTAGTGATACCAGATATCAGCCTGGAGAAGGGGGGATCTCTCTAAATAGGACTCTAATGACAGAGTATTCAGATACACTCCATTACACACAAAACACAAGTCTTTCACTCCCTCCCTGACACTTAATGGCATATAAAGTTGAAAGGTCAACCATATACACACTGACTCAACCACACCACCCTCCTAGACACTCAACCATACACACACACACACACACACACACACACACACACACACACTGACTCAACCACACACACACACACACACTGACTCAACCACACACACACACACTGACTCAACCACACACACACACACACACACACACTGACTCAACCACACACACACACACTGACTCAACCACACACACACACACACACACACACACACTGACTCAACCACATACACACACACTGACTCAACCACACCACCCTCCTAGACACAAAGCAACCTAACCTAACCTAACCCCCCTCCTAGACACAAAGCAACCTAACCTAACCACCCTCCTAGACACAAAGCAACCTAACCAACCCCCCTCCTAGACACAAAGCAACCTAACCTAACCCCCCTCCTAGACACAAAGCAACCTAACCTAACCCCCCTCCTAGACACAAAGCAACCTAACCTAACCCCCCTCCTAGACACAAAGCAACCTAACCTAACCACCCTCCTAGACACAAAGCAACCTAACCTAACCCCCCTCCTAGACACAAAGCAACCTAACCTAACCACCCTCCTAGACACAAAGCAACCTAACCTAACCACCCTCCTAGACACAAAGCAACCTAACCTAACCCCCCTCCTAGACACAAAGCAACCTAACCTAACCCCCCTCCTAGACACAAAGCAACCTAACCACACCACCCTCCTAGACACAAAGCAACCTAACCTAACCACCCTCCTAGACACAAAGCAACCTAACCTAACCCCCCTCCTAGACACAAAGCAACCTAACCTAACCACCTACCTAGACACAAAGCAACCTAACCTAACCACCTACCTAGACACAAAGCAACCTAACCTAACCACCCTCCTAGACACAAAGCAACCTAACCTAACCCCCCTCCTAGACACAAAGCAACCTAACCTAACCCCCCTCCTAGACACAAAGCAACCTAACCTAACCCCCCTCCTAGACACAAAGCAACCTAACCTAACCCCCCTCCTAGACAACAAAGCACCTAACCTAACCACCCTCCTAGACATAAAGCAACCTAACCTAACTAACCACCCTCCTAGACACAAAGCAACCTAACCTAACCCCCCTCCTAGACACAAAGCAACCTAACCTAACCACCTACCTAGACACAAAGCAACCTACCTAACCACCTACCTAGACACAAAGCAACCTAAACCTACCCCCCTCCTAGACACAAAGCAAACCTAACCTAAACCACCTACCTAGACACAAGCAACCTAACCTAACCACCTACCTAGACACAAAGCAACCCTAACCACCACACCACCCTCCTAGACACAAAGCAACCTAACCTAACCACCTACCTAGACACAAAGCAACCTAACCTAACCACCTACCTAGACACAAGCAACCTAACCTAACCACCTACCTAGACACAAAGCAACCTAACCTAACCACCTACCTAGACACAAAGCAACCTAACCTAACCACCTACCTAGACACAAAGCAACCTAACCTAACCACCTACCTAGACACAAAGCAACCTAACCTAACCACCTACCTAGACACAAAAGCAACCTAACCTAACCACCTACCTAGACACAAAGCAACCTAACCTAACCACCCCTCCTAGACACAAAGCAACCTAACCTAACCCCCCTCCTAGACACAAAGCAACCTAACCACACCACCCCCCTAGACACAAAGCAACCTAACCTAACCCCCCTCCTAGACACAAAGCAACCTAACCACACCACCCTCCTAGACACAAAGCAACCTAACCTAACCCCCCTCCTAGACACAAAGCAACCTAACCACACCACCCCCCCTAGACACAAAGCAAACCTAACCTAACCCCCCCTCCTAGACACAAAGCAACCTAACCTAACCCCCCTCCTAGACACAAAGCAACCTAACCACACCACCCTCCTAGACACAAAGCAACCTAACCTAACCACCTACCTAGACACAAAGCAACCTAAGCCAACCAGCTCAGAGAGACAAAGGAAAGAGGCGTCTCTCTCTACCTTTTGATCGTAAGCAGACTGTTGTATGACTTCCGGTGCCATCCAGAATGGTGTCCCTACAAATGTCTCCCTCTTTATCTGTGTGTCTGTCAGCTGTCCAGCCACTCCAAAGTCTGCTAGCTTCACCTCCCCGTGCTCAGAGAGAAGGACATTGGCAGCTACAGAGAGGGGGAGGGACACACACCAAATACATTTACTGGAGACATTTCCCTTTTGCAGTGTGAGTTATCCTGAACAGAAATATCAAATGCAACATGCAACAATTTCAAAGATTTTACTGAGTTACAGTTCATATAATGAAATCAGTAAATGGAAATAAATTCATTAGGCCCTAATCTATGGATTTCACATGACTGGGAATACAGATATGCATCTGTTGGTCACAGATACCTTTAAAAAAAAGGTGGGGGCGTGGATCAGAAAACCAGTCAGTATCTGATGTGACCACCATTTGCCTCATGCAGTGCGACAGATCTCCTTCACATAAAGTTAATCAGACTGTTGATTGTGGCCTGTGGAATGTTGTCCCACTCCTCTTCAATGGCTGTACCAAGTTGCTGGATATTGGCGGGAACTGGAACATGCTGTCGTACACGTCGATCCAGAGCATCCCAAACATGCTCAATGGGTGACATGTCTGGAGAGTATGCAGGCCATGGAAGAACTGGAACATTTTCAGCTTCCAGGAATTGTGTACAGATCCTTGCGACATGGGGCCGTGCATTATCATGCTGAAACATGAGGTGATGGTGGCAGATGAATGGCACGACAGTGGGCCTCAGGATCTCGTCACGGTATTTCTGTGCATTCAAATTGCCATCAATAAAATGCAATTGTGTTCGTTGTCCGTAGCTTATGCCTGCCCATACCATAACCCCACCATGGGGCACTCTGTCAACAACGTTCACATCATCAAACCACTCACCCAACAACACCATACACGTGGTCTGTGGTTGTGAGGCCGGTTGGACGTAATGCCAAATTCTCTAAAACGACGTTGAGGCGGCTTATGGTAGAGAAATCAACATTCAATTATCTGGCAACAGCTCTGGTGGACATTCCTGCAGTCAGCATGCCAATTACACACTCCCTCAAAACTTGAGACATCTGTGGCATTGTGTTGTGTGACAAAACTGTACATTTTAGAGTGTCCTTTTATTGTCCCCAGCACAAGGTGCACCTGTGTAATGATCATGCTGTTTAATCAGCTTCTTGATATGCCACACCTGTCAGGTGGATGGATTATCTTGGCAAAGGAGAAATGCTCACTAACAGGGATGTAAACAAATTTGTGCCCAAAATTTGAGAGAAATAAGCTTTTTGTGCGTGTGGAACATTTCTTGGCTCTTTTATTTCAGCTCATGAAACATGGGACCAACACTTTACATGTTGGGTTTATATTTTTTTGTTCCGTTTATTTAACCCCCTAGAGTTTTGCAGTGTGAGTTAACAATAATGAACCCTGGGCACAAGCACCGCTGATAGTTAAATCATTATCTATTTTTCAAGTAACTATTTTCAAGTAAGACGCTCATGGCCGTGGCAACACTTGATAAAGCACTCTGTTGACGCTGGCCCCCCAAAAAAGTTACGCTTCCAGTGAGTGTAGCAGGTTAAAAAAAAACTACTGGTTTTAGCTCCACACACAGAGATACACACTCCTGTGCAACACCACATTTAACTAAGAGCAACACACACACACTCCTACCTTTGATATCTCGGTGTATCTTCTTCTCTGAGTGGAGATAATCCAGACCCTTCAGAATTTCCTTCAGCATGGTGGCAATCTGGCACTCATCAAACGGACCTGCACGCAACTGGACACACACATCACACACACATCACAGATCACACTTTCATAAAAGTAACCATCCACACACACACACACACACTTACCAAGTCCAGAGCTGAACCCCCACCTAGATACTCCATGATGATCCATAGTTTACTGCCCTGAGAGACAGAGAGAGAGTTATAGCTGCAGTGTGTGTGTGTGTGTGTATGTGTGTGTGTGTGTATATGTGTGTGTGTATGTGGTGTGTGTATGCGTGTGTGTGTATATGCGTGTGTGTGTGTGTGTGTATGTGTGTATGTGTGTGTGTGTGTGTGTGTGTATATGTGTGTGTGTGTGTGTGTGTGTGTGTGTGTGTGTGTGTGTGTGTGTGTGTGTGTGTGTGTTCCTATCCTCACCTTTAGGTGTGACCCATAGTACTTGGTGACATAGGGACTGTCACATTGACTCAGTACAGTGATCTCCTGTTGTATATCTTCAATCTCATCTTCAGCCTCTTCCAGATCTATCGTCTTAAAGAAGCAACATATTTCAGCCTCTTCCAGATTTATCGTCTTAAAGAAGCAACATATTTCAGCCTCTTCCATATTTATCATCTTAAAGAAGCAACATATTTCAGCCTCTTCCAGATTTATCGTCTTAAAGAAGCAACATATTTTAGACATATTGAACGTTTCTTGGTGATGTTTATGAAGGACACTGCTCATAATGGCTTAGTACTGCATCTTACCTTAATGGCTACTACACTCTGGGTGCGATTATCGATGCCTTTGAAGACCTCACCAAATGATCCTTTACCGATTCGCTCCAACTTGGTGAAAAGTTCCTCAGGGTCTACCTTGGGACGGTCTTGGATGGGGGTGGAAGGGGGGAGAAGGTGAGGGGGAGAAGGGGAAGGGTTGATGGGGGTAGGGGAGGGTGATGGGGAGACGGGGAGGGTAGGGGGGGAGGGGGGTGAGGGGGAGGGGAGGGGATGGTTTGTGTCTGTTTGGGGTTTGTTTTGGGCGGTTTGGGGCGCTTTGGGGTTTTGATGTTTGGGGGTTGTTTTTAGTATGTGTTTTGGGGTGGCTTAGTGTTCCTTTTTTTGTTTGGTCTTTTTTTGGGGCTTTTTGTTGTTTTTGGCCTGATGGGGCCCCTTTTTTCTTTTTTTTTTTTTTGTTCTTGTTATTTGTTTTATTTTTCTTTTTCTCTTTTGTTTTTCCCTTTTTTCGGAGTTCCTTTGGTTTGTCTTTTCTTTTTTTGGTTTGGGTTTGTTGGTGCTCTGTTGGGGTTTGGGGACGTGTGGGAGGGGGGGGGTGTGTGGCTGGGTCTTGTTCGGGGGTTTTGGCTTTTGGGTTGTTTTTGGGGTGTGTGTACGGTTTTTGGGGGTCTTGTTGCGGAGGACTTTTGCTCTTTTTGTTTTTTTGTCTCCGTTTCGTTTGTTTGATGCGGTTCTTGTGGGGTTTTTTTGTCCCTTTATTTTGGCGGAGGGTTTCCTCCTGTTTCTTCCCTGTATTTGTGGCTGTTTTCTCTTTCTAACTTTCTTCTTAACAACTTCACTCTTTCTGCTCGCTAGGTCCCTCTCTTTCATCTTCTATCCGTCTTTCTTGTCTTCTTCTCTCATATAAACTTTGCTGGTCTTATGTCCCACTCTCTTCTCTCTCCTGCTCTTCAAGACTCTAGGCGACGTGAGTGTTTACCTGGTTTCTCTCTCCTTCTGTCTCTCTGTCTCCTGTGCTCTTTTTCTCTCTGGGCTTCTCTTTCGTCTCTCTCTCGTCCTGTTCTCTCTCCCCGTCTCTCCTGGCTCTCCCTCCCTGTCGCTCTCTCCTCCCTTCTCTCTCTCATCAGGACGACGGTGGGAGTTAGGTGTTTAGGACAGTGGGTGAGTTAGGTGTTTAGGACAGTGGGTGAGTTAGGTGTTTAGGGCAGTGGGGGGTAGGGGGTTTAGGACGGGGTGGTTTTGGTTTTAGGAAGTGGGTAGTTAGGTGTTTAGGGCAGTGGGGGTTAGGGGTTTAAGGGGCAGGGGGGGATTAGGGGGTTTAGGGGCAGTGGGGGAGTTGGTGTTTAGGGGAATGGGGGAGAGTGTTTTAGGACAAATGGGTGATTTTTGGGGTTTTTTGGGGCAGTGGGGGATTGGGGGATAGATTTGTTGGTGTTGAACATTCAGTGTGTGTTAACATGTCTGCATCCTTCTCATGTGTGTGTCCTCTCTTCTTATGCTAGCACCACACTGTGACACACACACACACACACACACACACATACACACACACACACACTGTTATGTTCTTCTATCGTCATGGGGACCTACAATGTCTTTCCATTCAAAATCCTATTTTGCTTAACCCCTAACCCCTAACCCTAACTCTAAACTTAAAATATCCTCTGTCCTCATTGGGACGTGGGAAATATCCCCACAAGGTAGAATTTCCCTTGTTTTACTATCGTTGTGGGGATTTTGGGGGGAAGAACACGCGTTGTTGAACGCCTAATAATAGGTCTAAATATATTCCCATGTAGTTCTCTAATAACCTGAAAGAGACATCAGCTGACCCTTACTAACCAGTCTTCAACTGTAGCTTGTTTCTGCTTTGTTCTGTTCTTCACCAAAAAAGCCTAGGTTTGTTTAGTGAAATAGAATAGCGGAGTAGAAGAGGTTGCCCATAATCACTGTAGAGGTTCTTTAGTTTTGGTCTAAAGTTATCCAGCTAACTCAGTGATCCTGCGGTCTAAAGCATCAGCTAACTCAGTGATCCTGCGGTCTAAAGTTATCAGCTACTCAGGACCTGCGGTCTAAAGTTATCCAGCTAACTCAGTGATCCTGCGGTCTAAAGTTATCCAGCTAACTCAGTGATCCTGCGGTCTAAAGTTATCCAGCTAACTCAGTGATCCTGCGGTCTAAAGTTATCCAGCTAACTCAGTGATCCTGCGGTCTAAAGTTATCGGTAATAGTGTCGCGTTAAGTATCCGCTAACTCAGTGATCCTGCGCTTAAGTTTCCGGTAATAGGACTGCGTCTAAAGTATCGGATAATCGTGTCCTGCGGTTAAGTATCCAGTACGTGGATCTGCGGTCAAGTTATCCAGCTATCAGTATTGCGGTTAAAGTTCCAGCAATCATTCCTGCGGTAAGTTATCGGTCAACCAGTGATCTGGTCAAAGATCCGGCTAATCTGTGATCCTGCGTCTAAAGTCTACAGTAACTCAGTGATCGCGGTCTAAAGTACCAGTACTCAGGACTGCGGTCTAAAGATCAGCAACTCAGTGATCTGCGGCTAAAGTACCAGTAACAGTGTCCTGCGGTCAAAGTTACAGTAACCAGGATCCTGCGTTAAAGTATCAGCTAACTCGTGACGGTCTAGTATCAGAACTCAGTGTCTGCGGTCTAAGTTCCAGCTAACTCAGTGCGGTTAAAGTATCCAGCAACTATTGATCTGCTTGGTGAAATAGAGTAGAATAACATATAACTGTGGGTTATAGGGTGAGGTTTCCCTTCTAAATTAATATATAACTAAACAAAACTTAGTTCAATTGTCTAACCCCATCAGAAACCAAAAATATAAGCTTAGTTTTATTTAGTCCACTGTTTGTAAACAATGCTATTGTAAAGAAAGACTTTGCAGCTTCAAAACGTTGTTTAAAAGTATCAAAAACATCAGGGTGGATGTTTTGTTGTTGTTTGAATTACAGACTGCAGCTTGCAGCAGGAGCTGTGTTCAGCTCAGCACCTGTAGTGGTCTGACCAAGGTTAAAAATAACCAGCTTCTTTTATACACCTGCTGTAGCCAATGGGGGGGAGTACGGCAGACTGCTATGCAAATACCCATTGTGACATAACAGAGCTACCAATCGCATTTCCCTATAAAATCCAGATAGAGAGCGAGAGCTTGGACTTTGCGTTCTCTCTTCATACTTTCTAGTGTCAGTAATAAACCATTTATATAATGGGGAGGCGAAGGAAAGTTCAACAGCTTTTATGATGTCATAATCAGAGCCCTTTGTGACATCACAGTCCTAAACACAGATTTATGTGATGTCATAAAGACAAAACACTCTAGATTTGGAACAATATGAATGAGGACTCCATTGCAGTAGGAACCGGACATGTTGACCTCCAAATAGCAGAAGACACAGGATCACAGACTTATTTGGAGAGATATTCCAGGGAAATATCTCCAATAACTTCCTCATGCAATATAACACTTCGTTTTTATGACTGTATGGGTTAAAGGGTGATTCACACTGCTGTTGAGAACTTGGGTCAAAATTTGTGAGTGGGGGAGAGAGAGAGACAGAGAGACACAGAGAGACAGAGAGAGACAGCGAGAGAGAGAGAGAGAGAGAGAGAGAGAGAGAGAGAGAGAGAGAGAGCCAGAGGGAGGGATGGAATTCAAACAGAAATTCACATGAATAACAATCAATCACAAATTCCTACCAAAAATGTTATGTCCCTTTGTGAAGAGAATCCATCTGAATGGCCATGTGTTGGCTTACATTTACATTACATTTTAGTCATTTAGCAGACGCTCTTATCCAGAGCGACTTACAGGAGCAATTAGGGTTAAGTGCCTTGCTTAAGGGCACATCGACAGGCTTATCTACAGACGGAAGGTCCAGCAGTGCGTCTACCAAGTGGCAACCCAATTCCCTAGTGGACTACTTTTGAAAAGTGGTGCGCTACGTAGGGAACAGAGTGCCATTTGGGATGCATCCGGACGGTGTTTTATCACAGAGCACACTGACCCTTAGACCCTAGCTCAGGGTCACCCACACTGACCCTTAGACCCTAGCTTAGGGTCACCCACACTGACCCTTAGACCCTAGCTTAGGGTCACCCACACTGACCCTTAGACCCTAGCTTAGGGTCACCCACACTGACCCGTAGACCCTAGCCAGGGTCACCCACACTGAACCCGTAGACCCTAGCTTAGGGTCACCCACACGACCCCGTAGACCCTTAGCTTTAGGGTCACCCACCACTGACCCTTAGACCCTAGCTTAGGGTCACCCACACTGACCCGTTAGACCCTAGCTTAGGGTCACCCACACTGACCCTTAGACCCTAGCTTAGGGTCACCCAGCTGGAGGAAGAGCACCACTGACCCTTAGACCCTAGCTTAGGGTAACCCACACTGACCTTAGACCCTAGCTTAGGGTCCACCCACACTGACCGTAGACCCTAGTTAGGGTCACCCACACTGACCCGTAGACCCTAGCTTAGGGTCACCCCCACTGACCCCCTGACCCTAGCTTAGGGTCACCCACACTGACCCTTAGACCCTAGCTTAGGGTCACCCAGCTGGAGGAAGGAGGAAACACACTGCAGGCAAGGGCATGTACACACAGAGCACAACTGACCCCTTTGACCCTAGCTCAGGGCACCCAGCTGGAGGAAGGAGGGAAAACCACTGCAGGCAAGGGCTGTACACACAGAGCACACTGACCCGTAGACCCTAGCTCAGGGTCACCCAGCTGGAGGAAGGAGGAAACACACTGCAGGCAAGGGCATGTACACACAGAGCACACTGACCCGTAGACCCTAGCTCAGGGTCACCCAGCTGGAGGAAGGAGGAAACACACTGCAGGCAAGGGCACGACACAAGAGCACACGCCCCGAACCCAAGAGGGAACCCCCAGCGGGGAAAAGGGGGAAAAGGAAAACACACGGGCAAGGGAAGGGACCCCAAACCACACACACACAACACACACACACACCACACACACACACACACACACACACACACACACACACACACACACACACACTTCCCCCGATACATACAGTCCATCCTATTTGTTCGCAATAAATAACTGTGTCTGGCTCCATGCTGCACCAGAAGTAACACAGAAGTGAACCGTTTAAGAGTTCTATGACAGTGATGTCATAATGGGACATATTATAACAGACAACAATACACTAACAAAGGCGTGTCACTTGGTGACGTTACAATGAGCCACTGAACACACCCACGACCCTCTCCTCCGGCTGTATAGTCAGTCATACAATATGATATGATATGATATGATATGATATGCCATTTAGCAGACAAGATAGAACATTAAATGCAAGGCAAAACAGGTGCGGCCCTAATACGTTACATCAGTTAGAAAGAGATCACTGCAGGCAGCTGGACAGTCAATTCGATGTTCAATTTCTATTGGCTACTTCAAAAGCTCAAAAGCTGTAGGCTACGTCTAGTTCTGGCGATGCGCTACGGTATGTCATTCACCTGTCCTCGTCCACCTGTGTGTCTAGTCTACTGTGCTTCTTACTACAAACTCGCAAAAAGCCCAGCAACAGTTCACAGATCAACGTTATACATCAGAGTAAAAATCCAAACACGAACGGATAAAACGGTTTGATAGCAGAGTTTGTTCTTACCTGCATTCCTGGCACCTGCACCTCCATTCTCCCGTGTTCCTACCTCGACTCCACCAACTGACCTCCCACTCCTATTCTACCCCCTTCTCTCTCTCTGCCTTGTAGAGCTCTGAAATCAAACATTTAACACAGCAGCAGAACGTCTTTCACAACAGGCGTATTTGTAAATCGTCAACCATTCGTGTCTTGTTATGCTTTCTTCACTCACCCAACACAGCCGCTCTCTCCCTAGCGCCCAGAGTAGGCTTCAAAAACTAAAATAAAGTTCCACTTGAATTGTCTTACTCGACTATCCACGTGAAAAGAAGTTTGACTCGTGAATCCTGCTCCGTGTTGGTTCAAGACAAGTCAGTCAGTGTGGTTGTGAATGCCAGCGCTATGACTCGGGGTCAGGTAGTTTACTGCAAGTAGGATCAGCTAGCATGCTGCGGCCAGTTGGGTGCTATGCTTTAGGGTGGAGCTGTATTGTCGGAGGGAGATAGATAGATAGATCTCACAGGAACTACTAGATAGATAGATAGATAGATCTCACAGGAACTACTAGATAGATAGATAGATAGATAGATAGATAGATAGATAGATAGATAGATAGATAGATAGATAGATAGATCTCACAAGAACTACTAGATAGATAGATAGATAGATAGATAGATAGATAGATAGATAGATAGATAGATAGATAGATAGATAGATAGATAGATAGATAGATAGATAGATAGATAGATAGATAGATAGATAGATAGATAGATCTCACAGGAACTACTTCACAGAGCTCATGGAGTGGAAGTTTGAAAACTGAAACAAGGCTGCCACCTTCTGGTGAGATAAGTGTGGAACACTACTTTAACACAGGGAGAGATGAGCGAGAGGAGGGAGGGGAGAGGGGAAGAGAGGGAGGGAGGGGAAAAGAAGGGAGGAGGGAGGGGAGGGAGGAGAGAAAGGAGGGGGGGGGGAGGAAGGAGAAAGAGGAAGAGAAAGGGGGAGGGAGGAAAAGAGAGAGTGAGAGAGGGGAGGGGGAGGGGGAAGAAAGCGGAGGGAGGGAGGGAGGGGGAGGGTGAGAGAGGGAAGGGGAGGAGAGGGGGGGAGAGTGGAAGGGGGGGGGGAGGGGGAGGGAGGGAGAGATAAGCGAGGGAGGGAGGGAGAGAGAGGGAGAAAAATGAGGAGAAGGAGGGGGGAGGGAGGGAGAGAGGGGGAGAGGAGGGAGGGAAGGAGGGGGAGAATGGAGGAGGGGGGAGGGGAGGGGGAGAGGGGAAAGGAGAGGAGGGGGGGAGGGAGGGAGAGATAGGAGGGAGGGAGGGGGGAGGGGAAAAAAGAGGCGGGGAGGAGGGAGGGAAGGAGGGAGAAAAGGGGGGGGGAGAAGAGGGGAAGAGAGAGAGTAATGGAGGGAGATAGAGGGAGAGAGGGAGGGAGAGAGAGACGTGAGAGAGGGAGGGGAGGGAGGGAGAGATGAGTGAGAGGAGGGAGGGAGAGATGAGTGTAGAACACTAGTGGTAACTGGTATGACCAGCTCCAGGTATGTTTTGAGACATGGTAGCTGGTATGACCAGCTCCAGGTATGTTTTGAGACCAGACCAGAGTTTGGGTTTGAGAAGTCAATGAGAGAAGTAAAAAAAAACGTCCTGAGAAATCTAAAGGAACAACCTATATTCTATCCAATGTCTTAAGTAGCTGAACTTGTTGTTACTCCAACCTGGTGAAATTGACAAACTGACGCCTTTTCATTTTCGCCCAAAATAACTTTACATCGAAGGAGTTTCTTTGATTTGACAGCCTGCACATGCCCCACTGGGCACAAACTGTTTGAGTCAATGTTGTTTCCACGTCATTTCAACACAAAATAATCTGTGATGATATTGAATCAACGTGGAAATTTGATTCATTTTTTTATTTATTTTTACTAATTCCAATGACATGGTGTCATGTTTTATTGATTTTACGTTGAATTCACATTAGTTGACAACTCAACCAAATGTAAATCAAAACTAGACGTTGAACTGATGCTCATTGGGTTATAGTTCGGTGTAAGATGACCGTTAGATCCGATGGCGTTTCTGCGCATGAGCTTAGGTAGCCAATGTTGCCATGACATCGCCTACAATTGGAGAAGCAGTATCTACATATCTTCATACTAAACTATCTAAGGAATAACTGACTAACTAAAATAGTGCTTTAAATCATCACTATTTTTTTTTAGCTCAAATAAATTGCTCCAAAGATGAATTGACGCATATGGGAGACACTTGGCTACATTTGCACGCCATGAGTACAAAACACTAGACTTTCAAAATGCTTCATTACAAATATTTTATTCCTTCAGTTGGGAAGAACATTGATTACGTTTAGAAAATATAATAGGTGAAAAAGGGAAACCTAGTCGGTTGAAAACATTCAATCCAAATGTGTCTTCCGCATCTAACCCAAACCCTCTGAATCAGAGAGGTGCGGGGGGACTGCCTTAATAAACATCCATGGCGCCCAGGGAGCAGTTGTTGCGCGGGTTAACTGCCTTGCTCAAGGGCAGAAAGGCAGATTTTTCCACCTGCTCTGGGATTCTCAGATAGAGTTCAGTGTGTCAAATCGGAGGGCCTGTTGTCTGGACCTATGGCAGTCTCTATGGGGGTGCCACAGGGTTCAATTCTTGGGCCGACACTTTTCTCCGTGTATATCAATGATGTCGCTCTTGCTGCTGGTGACTCTCTGATCCACCTCTACGCAGACGACACCATTTTGTATACATCTGGCCCTTCATTGGACACTGTGTTAACAAACCTCCAAACGAGCTTCAATGCCATACAACAATCCTTCAGTAGCCTCCAACTGCTCTTAAAACACTAGTAAAACTAAATGCATGCTTTTCAATCGAACGATGCTGGCACCCGCCCACCCGACTAGAATCACCACTCTCGACGGGTCTGACCTAGAGTATGTGGACAACTACAAATACCTAGGTGTCTGGTTAGACTGTAAAACTCAACTTCCAGACTCACATAAAGAATCTCCAATCCAAAGTTAAATCTAGAATCGGCTTCCTATTTCGCAATAAAGCCTCCTTCACTCATGCTGCCCAACATGCCCTCGTTAAAACTGACTATCCTACCGATCCTTGACTTCGGCGATGTAATTTACAAAATAGCCTCCAACACTCTACTCAGCAAATTGGATGTAGTCTATCACAGTGCCATCCGTTTTGTCTCCAAAGCCCCATACACTACCCACCACTGTGACCTGTACGCTCTTGTTGGCTGGTCCTCACTACATGTTCGTCGTCAAAACCCACTGGCTCCAGGCCATCTATAAATCACTGCTAGGCAAATCCCCGCCTTATCTTAGCTCATTGGTCACCATAGCAGCACCCACCCGTAGTCTACGCTCCAGCAGGTATATCTCACTGGTCATTCCCAAAGCCAACACCTCCTTTGGCCGCCATTCCTTCCAGTTCTCTGCTGCCAATGACTGGAACGAATTGCAAAAATCTCTGAAGCTGGAGACTCTTATCTCCCTTAATAACTTTAAGCATCAGTTGTCAGAGCACCTTACCGATCACTGCACCTGTACACAGCCCATCCGAAATTAGCCCACCCAACTACCTCATCCCTATATTATTTATTTTGCTCTTTTGCACCCCAGTATCTCTATTTGCACATAATCTCTTGCACATCTAGCATTCCAGTGTTAATACTATTGTAATTATTCTGCACTATAGCCTATTTATTGCCTTACCTCCATAACTTGCTACATTTGCACACACTGTATATATATTTTCTGTTGTATTTTCTGACTTTATGTTTTTTTTACCCCATATGTAACTCTGTTGTTTTTATTGCACTACTTTGCTTTATCTTGGCCAGGTCGCAGTTGTAAATGAGAACTTGTTCTCAACTGGCTTACCTGGTTAAATAAAGGTGAAATAAAAAAATAAAAATAAAATTCGAACAAGCAACCTTTAAGTTACTGTCGCAACGTTCTAACCTCTAGGCTACCTATATATGGGCAATCTGCAGTTCAAAAAATAACAAAGCGTCCCACCCCGTCACTGTTTGGACTAACAGCTGAGGGATAGGGCTGGAGAAATGTGACCACTCTGAAATTCACAGACAGAGCTTTGAATGAAATGACTGGCAATCCATGAAATCAAAATTATAGTTTCAACCATGTTTGTTTACATTTTTTTTTTTTTTTTTTTTTTTAAACACTGGAGTAAAACAGGCTTATACAGTTGAAGTTGGACGTTTACATACACCTTAGCCAAATACATTTAAACTCCGTTTTTCACAATTCCTGACATTTAATCCTAGTAAAAATTCCCAGTCTTATGTCAGTTAGGATCACCACTTTATTTAAAGAATGTGAAATGTCAGAATAATTGTCACGCCCTGGCCTATAGAACTCTAGCTAGTTTGGTCAGGGTGTGAATATTCTAGGTTTGTATTTCTATGTTTGGCCGGGTGTGGTTCCCAATCAGAGGCAGCGGTCGCTCGTTGTCTCTGATTGGGGATCATACTTAGGAAGCCAGTTTTCCTGCCTGTGTTGTGGGATCTTGTTGTGTTCCTGTTTAGGCTTGTGTGTTAGCCCTTTGGACCGTCACGGTTAAGTTTGTTATTTTGGTTACTGTGTCGTGTGTTTATTAGTTAATAAACATGTACGCCGTTCACGCTGCACCTTGGTCTGCACTCGTGGGGGCTCAAGGAGGAGTCCTCACTGGAGGAGGACGGGGCGCGGAGTGTAAAGGACGGAGACAGTCATAGACCTCCAGCGCCGGTTCCCAGTCCGGCCCGGCCTGTTCCTGCTCCTCGCACCAAGCCGGTGGTGCGTGTCGCCAGTCCGGCCCGGCCTGTTCCTGCTCCTCGCACCAAGCCAGTGGTGCGCGTCACCAGTCCGGCCCAGCCTGTTCCTGCTCCTTGCACCAAGCCGGTGGTGCGCGTCGCCAGTCCGGCCCGGCCTGTTCCTGCTCCTCGCACCAAGCCAGTGGTGCGCGTCACCAGTCCGGCCCAGCCTGTTCCTGCTCCTTGCACCAAGCCGGTGGTGCGCGTCGCCAGTCCGGCCTGGCCTGTTCCTGCTCCTTGCACCAAGCCAGTGGTGCGCGTCACCAGTCCGGCCCAGCCTGTTCCTGCTCCTTGCACCAAGCCGGTGGTGCGCGTCGCCAGTCCGGCCCGGCCTGTTCCTGCTCCTCGCACCAAGCCAGTGGTGCGCGTCACCAGTCCGGCCCAGCCTGTTCCTGCTCCTTGCACCAAGCCGGTGGTGCGCGTCGCCAGTCCGGCCTGGCCTGTTCCTGCTCCTTGCACCAAGCCAGTGGTGCGCGTCACCAGTCCGGCCCAGCCTGTTCCTGCTCCTTGCACCAAGCCGGTGGTGCGCGTCGCCAGTCCGGCCCGGCCTGTTCCTGCTCCTCGCACCAAGCCAGTGGTGCGCGTCGCC